ATAAGGCTTCTGTTCCCCTAGATACAATAGTAAAACATATATTTTTGATTTGATGTTGTCCCCGTGTGAACTGGGTAGACCCACTGCCTCCTAAACAAGCATGTCGTAAAAGTTAGTTGTATTTCCTTTAAAGTCACAGTGTATCTGTCTGAGAGGCGTGAAATCAACACCCTGCACACGTGTAACAAGCCACGCCCGTAAAACGAATGTACATGCACAACTCTGCATGATTAAGACCAAAATCCAGAAATGGACAAACAACCATAACTTTCCGCCGGAGTTTACAGCCAGTGAACGCTAAGAAGAAGTTTGCTATGAAATATGTGGGTATTATCGTGTTGGCGATAGTTTGACAGATGAGTGACATTGTTGTTGTTGTTGTTAGACTTTCTTAGGTTTGGGGGTGGGGGAAAAAAGGGGGGGGGGGTGACTTCTAAAAGATAGTGGCTGGTAGATTTGTATTTTGTTGCTGCCTTCCTTAGCTCAAGCATCAGCGCTTTCATTGCCTTTGATGTCAGTCTGTTAGGCAGAGAAAGACGGTTTATTCTGTATGAATCATTTTCCTATAAACCAAAAAATCAGTTACGACATGTACGTATACAACCCCCCCCTCTCCCTCTTGTGTCCAAAACGAGTTTGCCTTTGAAGAATTGCGCCCAGGTAAACGACAGTGGCTGTTGGCGTACCTGCAACCCGGGTATCATATTCTCACAGATCGTCTATGGGTTGGTGGATAGACACAACACCACGTTCTGCTCGACCGACAACACACAACACATTTACCAGCAGGGGATTGTACAGCTCAGTTGTATCCTGTTGTGAATCAGATGTTGTCAACAAAACCGTTAAACATACAACTTCTCCACAAGTCCTGTCCGCACTAACCTGTCCTGACAACCGTCATATGTACCAGCAGACGACAGCCGGCGCCTGTCTGGATCATGTCCCGGGTGGTTTCCTGTTTTCTTTCGGTGACAGCAACCACCCGTACCCAACCGTTGACTAAGTTTGAGGGGGGGGGGGGGGTGTTGAAAGAGCAAGTGAACCGAATAAAGCTCACAAGCCTCAACTATCTAACTAAAGAATTCGGAAAGTCATACTCTTCACTACTAAACCAACAATGTACAGCCGAAGAATCATTGACAAGAATCATTGGCACTTAATGTTTAATTTCCATCCCAAACCTGGGAAAGATGCTGAGCCCAGTTTAGTAAATATAGCACTCACAATGGAACACCTTATGTTTGTTTTTGTTTTAGTAACCAGAAGCCATGAGTTGTTAACCCTTAGGCTCGGTATTATGGATATCGCAACCTTTCGGCCTTGATTCCATTTTAAATACCGTAAATCTGGGAGAAATGTGGCTTTTCTGCCCACCCCCGGGAGTGAACCCGGACCACAAGGAGTTCGTCACCCGCTCACCGCGCAATCGGGTTTAGCCAACTACGCTAGAGAGACGGGCATGGAACACCTTAACAACATGTTGGGCGAGAATCTGCATAGAAGGATCGTCAAAACAGGCAACTACGAATGGTGGGGTAGAGAGGGAGGGTCAACCGAGGCTAGAGGGAGGGTCAACTTAGGCTAGTCGGAGGGTCAACTTGGGCTAGGGAAGGGTCAACCGAGGCTAGAGGGAGGGTCAACTGAGGTTAGAAGGAGGTTCAACCGAAGCTAGGGGGAGGTCAACCGAGGCTAGAGGAAGGTTCAGCCGGTGACACGAGGCCTGCAGGAACAGTAGGGCCGGGGCCGGTCCACAGGAGAGCAGCCAAGGCCCACACTAAAACTGTGTGCTGTCACCTGTGCCTTATGAATTTCCAGGGTCAGCGACCTGTGTTTTCAGAAAATGGCGTTACCACATTCTTTGAGATACGGACATACATGTTTCCGTGGTTCTCTGCCATGTGGATAAGCCCGACCTGTCATGAATCATCATCTAGTGTGATCACAAATTGCAACCAGCTCACAGGTTTAGAATTTCCCCGTTTGCTTGAATGTTACACATCTGACTTTAGCTGTTAATCTAAAGAAGGCGGTGGAATGTTACACGTCCGACTTTAGATATTAATCTAGAGAAGGCGGTGGAATGTTACACGTCCGACTTTAGATATTAATCTAGAGAAGGCGGTGGAATGTTACACGTCCGACTTTAGATATTAATCTAGAGAAGGCGGTGGAATGTTACACGTCCGACTTTAGATATTAATCTAGAGAAGGCGGTGGAATGTTACACGTCCGACTTTAGATATTAATCTAGAGAAGGCGGTGGAATGTTACACGTCCGACTTTAGCTATTAATCTAGAGAAGGTGGTGGAATGTTACACGTCCGACTTTAGCTATTAATCTAGAGAAGGTGGTGGAATGTTACACGTCCGACTTTAGCTATTAATCTAGAGAAGGTGGTGGAATGTTACACGTCTGACTTTAGATATTAATCTAGAGAAGGTGGTGGAATGTTACACGTCCGACTTTAGCTATTAATCTAGAAAAGGTGGTGGAATGTTACACGTCCGACTTTAGCTATTAATCTAGAGAAGGCGGTGGAATGTTACACGTCCGACTTTAGATATTAATCTAGAGAAGGCGGTGGAATGTTACACGTCCGACTTTAGATATTAATCTAGAGAAGGCGGTGGAATGTTACACGTCCGACTTTAGATATTAATCTAGAGAAGGCGGTGGAATGTTACACGTCCGACTTTAGATATTAATCTAGAGAAGGCGGTGGAATGTTACACGTCCGACTTTAGCTATTAATCTAGAGAAGGTGGTGGAATGTTACACGTCCGACTTTAGCTATTAATCTAGAGAAGGTGGTGGAATGTTACACGTCTGACTTTAGCTATTAATCTAGAGAAGGTGGTGGAATGTTACACGTCTGACTTTAGATATTAATCTAGAGAAGGTGGTGGAATGTTACACGTCCGACTTTAGCTATTAATCTAGAGAAGGTGGTGGAATGTTACACGTCCGACTTTAGCTATTAATCTAGAGAAGGCGGTGGAATGTTACACGTCCGACTTTAGATATTAATCTAGAGAAGGTGGTGGCATGTTACACGTCTGACTTTAGCTGTTAATCTAAAGAAGGCGGTGGAATGTTACACGTCCGACTTTAGATATTAATCTAGAGAAGGCGGTGGAATGTTACACGTCCGACTTTAGATATTAATCTAGAGAAGGCGGTGGAATGTTACACGTCCGACTTTAGATATTAATCTAGAGAAGGCGGTGGAATGTTACACGTCCGACTTTAGATATTAATCTAGAGAAGGCGGTGGAATGTTACACGTCCGACTTTAGATATTAATCTAGAGAAGGCGGTGGAATGTTACACGTCCGACTTTAGCTATTAATCTAGAGAAGGTGGTGGAATGTTACACGTCCGACTTTAGCTATTAATCTAGAGAAGGTGGTGGAATGTTACACGTCCGACTTTAGCTATTAATCTAGAGAAGATGGTGGAATGTTACACGTCTGACTTTAGCTATTAATCTAGAGAAGGTGGTGGAATGTTACACGTCCGACTTTAGCTATTAATCTAGAGAAGGCGGTGGAATGTTACACGTCCGACTTTAGCTATTAATCTAGAGAAGGTGGTGGAATGTTACACGTCCGACTTTAGCTATTAATCTAGAGAAGGTGGTGGAATGTTACACGTCTGACTTTAGCTATTAATCTAAAGAAGGCGGTGGAATGTTACACGTCCGACTTTAGCTGTTAATCTAGAGAAGGCGGTGGAATGTTACACGTCCGACTTTAGATATTAATCTAGAGAAGGCGGTGGAATGTTACACGTCCGACGTTAGCTATTAATCTAGAGAAGGTGGTGGAATGTTACACGTCTGACTTTAGATATTAATCTAGAGAAGGTGGTGGCATGTTACACGTCTGACTTTAGCTGTTAATCTAGAGAAGGTGGTGGAATGTTACACGTCCGACTTTAGCTATTAATCTAGAGAAGGCGGTGGAATGTTACACGTCCGACTTTAGCTATTAATCTAGAGAAGGTGGTGGAATGTTACACGTCCGACTTTAGCTATTAATCTAGAGAAGGTGGTGGAATGTTACACGTCTGACTTTAGCTATTAATCTAAAGAAGGCGGTGGAATGTTACACGTCCGACTTTAGCTGTTAATCTAGAGAAGGCGGTGGAATGTTACACGTCCGACTTTAGATATTAATCTAGAGAAGGCGGTGGAATGTTACACGTCCGACGTTAGCTATTAATCTAGAGAAGGTGGTGGAATGTTACACGTCCGACTTTAGATATTAATCTAGAGAAGGTGGTGGCATGTTACACGTCTGACTTTAGCTGTTAATCTAGAGAAGGTGGTGGAATGTTACACGTCTGACTTTAGCTATTAATCTAGAGAAGGTGGTGGAATGTTACACGTCCGACTTTAGCTATTAATCTAGAGAAGGTGGTGGAATGTTACACGTCCGACTTTAGCTGTTAATCTAGAGAAGGTGGTGGAATGTTACACGTCTGACTTTGCTATTAATCTAGAGAAGGTGGTGGAATGTTACACGTCTGACTTTAGCTGTTAATCTAGAGAAGGTGGTGGATTGTTACACGTCTGACTTTGCTATTAATCTAGAGAAGGTGGTGGAATGTTACACGTCCGACTTTAGCTGTTAATCTAGAGAAGGTGGTGGAATGTTACACGTCCGACTTTGCTGTTAATCTAGAGAAGGTGGTGGAATGTTACACGTCCGACTTAAAACTTCCGCATGCCTGTTGGTGTGAAATTTGGGAGAGGAACATTAGAACAACTTAACGCAACAGAGAAGTCTCTTTGTTTTTGTCGCGTCCAGAGATGAAGTCAAGCAATTTTCACTGCCAACATCACGTGACCTGTATTCCAGCGATTGGATTGGAGTGTTATACTCGCAGCCGTGCAGAGATTTTTTTAACAACAATACAATCATTTTTTTATGTTTTACCTTATTGTTGTTGTTATGAATTTAATTGTCAATGGGTCTTTTGTATTTATTGACAGATTCGCGGATGAATCCTACATTGGGCACAAGAACAAGACCAGCCGAGCCATCGGGACCTATAAGAGATCCAAATCTGCCGCCGTGCTGCAGTCTGCTGGTAGTAAGTCTCACACTGGCAACGGCGACGAGGACGCCGAGAACCAGCTTTTCCAAGAGCCGAAATTGGGCCAGCAAACTTGGAACAGCGAGTCTGTATTAACTCACACAGAAGCAAACGAGGGGTCGTTGTTGGGAGCTAGGAGACTCGATAAAGAGAACAGTGATCGGATTGTCCCATGTGTGGAACCTCGGGATGATACCTCACGGCCAGTGCCCACGCGTCCGGCCAGGTCTGGTGCACCCGGAAGGTACAGTTTAGGTCAGCTGCAGACTGTACCCACGTTGTCCACGTCGCCTGTGTCACACAACAATCACTCTGCTGCAGCGCCCTCCTCTTCCTCAGTCAATTTGTTTGCAGCTAAACCTTTTGTCCCCGATCAGCGCACTAGTGGAGCTCAGCGAGACAGTCCTGGACGAGGTCCAATCTCTTCGGCAGATCCTGCCTACAACCCCACCTCTTCAGCTGCAAGGAGCAGTTCCCGCGATCGTCTTTATTCCACAAACGGCCAGCAGCAGCAGCAACTTGGTGCCAGCGGTGAGAGGAAAGTTGGCAACAATAGTGCTCTGTCCCAGAACACATCTCCGCCGACAAGTGACGCTTCAGACAGTAACAGTAAATGGAATATTCATAATAACAGCACCAATAACAACCAATTTTCTGGCACAAAAGCTCCGTCACCTAGTCAACACGGCAACATCCAGTCCAAACTAAACGATGATGGATTACCCAGAGACACAACACAGCACACATTCACACACACAGACTACCAAAGAAGAGAAAGTGCTCCCGTGAGAAGCACCATTAATCCCAGCAGTTCCGAGAAGATACTGGATGTTTCCCTTGGAGACTCATCGGCTGCTTGCCGCCGTAGATCCGACAATAGCCTAAACCACACCCAGCAGACCGACCTGGTAGGATATGAGGTGTCCATTTCTCACAGCAGACAGCCATCACAAGAGGAGCTGGAATGTGACGAGAAGGCTAAGCAACTGGCTCAGGAGCTAGAACACAAGGACCAGAAGCTGTCGGAGGTTCTCAGGTCTGATGCTAACAAAAAACGAATGCAGTATATGGACGGGCTCTTCTCCAGGCCCACAGATTTGACATGCCCCGGGGAGCGAGCAACCTTTAATCCAGAGACTAGACTGTCTTTGAAGAACCGAAGCCCACAGACTATGCCAGAAGACTCCCTTGATAAGCAGAAGATGTCCAAACGGTGAGCTTTTTAATATTTTAAATATTTTTACATGACTGCCTATGTATGAAATTTGTAAAAACGCCTATGAATGTTGTTGCACGTCTACTGCTGCCTTAGTTTATCTTGTAGTATTTATTATTTTTAAAATTAGACTCAATACAGGTTACTGTGAACAATCAGATCAGAACAGTCAACGTTCTGTGAAACCTGACAGGAGCTCTCGCATTTAGTTAATGCCTGTTTATTTGATCTGCTCCTTGTTGATCTTACAGTAGCACTTTACCTTCAGATGTTTATTTCTGTAACATTACTTCCAATCTCTCTCTTTCTCTCTCTCACTCACTGACTCACGCACACATACACACACTATCGCCCCTCTCTCTGTCTGTCTGTATGTCTCTCTCACACAAACATCTGTCCACATACCACAGCCCTGTAGAGCCCAGCAAGGTTGTGACAGTTACTTTATCATCCAGTCCAGTTGTGGTATATTTTAACCGATCTCACCATTGATGTTACAAGTTGTAGCAAAAATGTTTCTTCCTCCAAGTTATGCCAGTTGAAGCTACTGCGGCATGAAAGACTAAACTCCCAGGTCTTATACTGTATCTACCTCTCCTCTATAGTTCCTAGCAATGCCAACAGGTGGCGCTGCTTGAAGCTATGCTGTATTTCTGCTGACAAGCATTTCTAGAATGTTCTAGAAGCCGAGCATGTTTGTACGGCTCGGTGTGGACTCCTGTTTGCGTGTGTGTTTCAGATAGAAGCGAGTGGCATTCTCAAACCTTGAACTGTTTTCCCCATCAAGTCTCGATGAGAAACGCTTCAGCGGCTCGGATGTTAATGACAGTTTACCTTCTCGTCACCCCAAGATCAACAACTGTGCTGATTTTTCGCCTGTTTGTTTCCCTGCAAACCAATATTTCTGGTTCAATAAAGCCGGCTAGATTTCATACCTTCTTCTTCTGCGTTCGGCCAGAAAAGGCTAAGCTTGGCTTTTGTGTTGAAGTTTACAGCTGGGCTGTGATATGTGGACCTTTTAGCCCGACACTTATAAGTTCAGTAAAACCATAATGACTTACATGTTACAACCAGCTTGATTAGGCGCGTCTACGACTGTGCTTTCATCGGGGCCTGTCAAGTACCCTCGGCGTCTGTGGCTTACGCTTGCTAACTCGCTTCCTTATGCCGGGGTGCCGGGTTCGATCCCAGCTGCGGACGGTTTGTCATGCGTTGTTTTCGACAGTGGTCCTAGAGCTAACCGTTTAGTGTCAAACTACTGAATGAATCTGCCGAGGAAAACCACAACAGCCAAACAAACAACAACAAACTACTGAATGAATCTGCCGAGGAAAACCACAACAGCCAAACAAACAACAACAAACTACTGAATGAATCTGCCTAGGAAAACCACAACAGCCAAACAAACAACAACAAACTACTGAATGAATCTGCCTAGGAAAACCACAACAGCCAAACAAACAACAAAAAACTACTGAATGAATCTGCCTAGCAAAACCACAACAGCCAAACAAACAACAAATGTTGGGGTTGATTCTGCAACATTCCTGAAAGAATACGCAGCCAACATTTTACCACCTGCCACGCCTTCATGCCAATTGGGCATATGAGGCTAGTCCTGTATTTTATAAACCGATGGCACTCGATGGATGATGTGGCCATCATTACTCTATCCGCCTTTACTTCCCATGACCCCTGGGTCAACCCTGCAGCCAAGATCATTTATAAAAGTTCGGCTCCGACAGGACCCGAACCAACATCCTTCCCATCCACAGGCAAGAGTCTAGCCGCTACACCACAACGGCTTCTAATCAACACCATATTACTCCTGCCTGTGGTGTTGATTTCATCTGTAGCCATGTTATTGTCTGCATGGTGCCCTGAATTAATAGACGAACGGAAAGTTTGTTCTGGCCCCCCCCCCCTGATTCTCCCACTCCCTCTACCCACCTCCCCCCTCCCCTGTCCCCGAGACTGCAGGCCAGCAGTGACCGAGTGAGTGGCGTTTTCACTGGAAATACTCACGGCAGACATGAAGCACCTGCATAAGCTGGGAGTCATAATTCACGCATAACGGTTTCCGCGGTATGTGCTTGCTGGTCGGGAGATTGCAGCCCAACTAGATTCTTGGTTATCTAATCTGTGAGATTGTTGGCTGGTAAGTGCCGACCTTAGAACATTCTTGCGGCGCCTTCAGACTGGAGATGTTGTGTCCGATGCTGTGGCGCCTTCAGACTGGAGACGTTGTGTCCGATGCTGTGGCGCCTTCAGACTGGAGACGTTGTGTCCGATGCTGTGGCGGTTTGCGGTGAAGAGAGGAGGGGGCAAGTGGGGCCTGATGTTGCGGGAGTTGACCGGCTCGGTGACCATGCTTGGGGAGGATAATCGGGTCTAGTGGATTATGAGCCGGTTGACGGGAATTGAAAACCCGCACAACAAGACGAACTAAACCATGTACCACCGTCACAGTACTCGAGTCATTCCCATACGCGCTGCGTCCTCATCTTCAGCAATAAACGAAGAATCCCAATTCTGACAGTAGCAGTTTGAGTATATGTCCGCCTTCCCTTCCATCTGAGGGCACTGTCCGGTCAGACCCATCCCCCTCCCCTTCTCTAAATCACTCGTTGCCCGTACCGTCCTTTCCCTACTGTTCTCTCCGCACCGCTGCTGGCTGCTTCACTGTTACAAGTTCTATCCTGGCTGCCAGTCTGGGGATGCCACATTCTAGCTACCATTATTGTTTCATGTAACCTTGTCGCACACGTGTCCAGCTACCAACTAGGGAACCAATACAACCGTCTAACCGTAACAACACAAAATGACATTCGGGTTTCTATGTCATTTCTGCCTGTTTATGTTTCCCGGTTCTTCTCCTATATTCATTCACAGTTGATCTGCATGCACAAGTGCTCTCTAGCCGTTACTGCTGACTTCTACAAAAAGCCTACAATAATCATTCCAGTTAAACGACATTGACTACATCATCGTCATCTTCCTCGACGTCTGGTACACCCCTGACCAGTAGCCAACCTCGAGTGTTTGCTCGTTCATCTCTGCAGTCTCGAGTATCTCGTGGCCTCTTCTCTTGCACAGCTTGTCGTGACCGTGGGCTACCAGGCAAAGCCTCAGACGTGATGATCTTTCGCGTCTGCGTTCTCTTCACTTTCTCCCAAAGAGCCTTAACCACATCAGACTTGTCTGCATCAAGTCACCACCGAGTGATGCAGTATCAGTCAATCTGTTCATTTCCCCCACACACCTGCACGCCACGGATAAAATATCCAAAGGGTACTAACTACCGGGTGCCACACAGAAAGAATGAGAAATAAACCTAGTATTGATAGGCACTCGTTTAATTAGAAGGAAATAGATGAAAGTCTGCAGGGATCCCGCAAAAGTTGACATGTATATGCCTAGTGCCTATGTCAGGAAGCGGTACTGACCAATCATAGCCAGACACGGTAATTGTCTCCCAGGAGTGCCGCTAGCGACCTGTCATAACACCGACACACTCCACTGTGCTAGGTTGATATCTTTGTTGCCCTCGACACGGTCGGTGCTATCTCTGGCCACCCGGAATTCAGATCTGCTGACGCTGTGGGTGTGGGTTTGTATCTTCTAAACATCGCAGTGCCGCTTCCAAGAACCAGTTGGAGCAGGTGTTCGGTGGACTGTATCCAGAGCATGTTTCTGTCACTATTTCTTTGCGTCTACAATGTCTCCAGAACTTCTATATCTATTCTGCCCTCTGTATACCCACATCTGGGCAGGCTGTCCACCTAAACGGAATGTTGAATCCGTGAGAATAACGATGGTTTCAACAAAATAACAAATTATAGTCAGTAGAATCATCCCCATGTGCCATAGTGTTGTACATGCTATTTATGTTTTAGCTGGCCTACAGCTGAATAGTGAGCACTGTTCGTCTGCAAGGAGTTGTCATTTGGAGTTCAGATCTCAGTGTGGTCTGTTTCTCTCTCTCTCTCTCTCTCTCTCTCTCTCTCTGTGTTTCTGCCCCCCCCCTCCCCCATCTTTCTCTCTCTCAAAGGCAGATAGTGTGTGCAACAAAGAAGACTCAGAACAAAGAAAAGGGCTCTCCATAGAAACCCAGTCTCGCGTCCTCTTCTCTCTCATATACAACGTCTGTCTGTTTGTCTGTCCCAGAGACCAACATGAGATTCCACCAAGCGAGTATTGGCAACCCTGCACCTTCAGACCGTTACTGAAGCAGACAGACGGCTAAGATTACCACGATGTTGTCGGGACTTACCTCCAAGATCCCAGTGAGCACACGTGCGCTGGTCGACCGGCACAAAGAGAGTCGTTATATCGAAGGAACACACCGATCGACACGAACACGTGTTCCCAGGCTTGTGTGACCTTTCCCTGTTTGACATGCCTGTTATAATAAACGTCGTCCTTGACTTTTCGCTGCAGACTTCTTTTTAAATCCTGGGCCAGTGTCTAAAAAGTCTGAACTTCAGGCACACCCACCCGCCCATCATGTTTGTGTCTGTCTGTTTGCCGCGCGACACGGAGAGTTGTTTTATTCTCCCACATTACAGCCCAGACTAGCCGGCTCACCGGAAGACAGTTCTGTCATGTCTAGTGCTGTCCTTTCCTACAGTTAATCCGAACACTAATACTTCCCTCTGTCTCAATATTTTATCCGTGCTTTTAGGTCCCGCTATCTCATTGCCCTGTGAGTTCCGATGCCAAGGACTTTGTAGTTTAGCGATTATCAGGTTTTCTTTACGCGTGTTCTGTTTAGTTCTGTGCTGTGTTCCTCTCTTCTTGATTCACCGGAACCTGCGTGGTCCTCTCCCAAACTCCCAGTGTAAAAATGTTGACATCTGTCAGTGTGGAAATCTTGTGCAAATATAGAAATATGACGCCTCCAAGCCCAAGTGCATCATAGTCAGGCTCTCCCGGAAGGCTAACCCGGTCAACAATGCCTGCGGAAATCAGTTGTGTCAGCTGAAAGACGTCAATATCGCAGCCATGCTGTAAACTGGCACAGCCCATTTGCATCTTAGGGTAAACGTAAAAAATAGGAACACATTCAGGCCTCTTCCATGACTGACACGATCAGAACGGTAGTACATCAGACATCGCAGTGAAAACTCAGTCTCCCACAGAACGCTGCCAACTCCTAGACATCACGTGTCTAATCTGGGGGTCAGTGTACCACCTGCCTGCCTGCCTGTCGTTGCTGCTCCCTGGCACCACCTGCCTGCCTGCCTGTCGTTGCTGCTCCCTGGCGCCACCTGACTGCCTGCCTGTCGTTGCTGCTCCCTGGCGCCACCTGCCTGCCTGTCTGTCGTTGCTGCTCCCTGGCGCCACCTGCCTGCCTGTCGTTGCTGCTCCCTGGCGCCACCTGCCTGCCTGCCTGCCTGTCGTTGCTGCTCCCTGGCGCCACCTGCCTGCCTGCCGTTGCTGCTCCCTGGCGCCACCTGCCTGCAGGTAGTGGACATCATGGCTGCCGGACAAGGTTCATAAATGTCTAGCAGTTGTCTGACATAGACACAGGACGAAGAAGTAAGTCAACAGGCAACCCCCCCCCCTCCCCCCAAATCCTTCAGGTCGCGGCTTAAAAAAAGACAAGAGACCAGGCCGATGACATCCCACGGATCACGTCTGCTGTGCCACTAACTTGGAAATAGTGAAATGTGTTTTCATTCCTGGCATTCTGCTAACCCGCGCCATTATGAACACATCTGCTAGTCACGGACCCAGATTGTTTACTTGCTTACAATGTCTGCTCAGTCCAAGAAACACATACACTTGCAGATATTTCTTCAGTCAAGAACTGACAATTCATAAATGTACGATAAATGATGTGGATTGAATAAAAAACCGATGGCCAGTGCAGATAACGAGCGCCCAGCTACAGGGGCTGCAGCCAAGTGGTTGTGATCTGAGTGCCAGCTGTAGCAGCCCTACTTGCGCTGTGGCTAATTAGCGTGTCACAGTTTGTCGTCGACATGATTGGGCTGTCATTGATACAGCGATTATTGATACAGCGATTATTGGTCCGGCTGATTGGTTAGTTAGGGGGGTCCGGCCAGAAATGAGCACGTCGAAGGAGGCACGCCAAATAAATATGTATTGGTTTGCGGCACTACGATTGAATAATTGCACATAATAAAGGCAAACGAATTGTTTGAGAGCATTTCTTAATTCGTATTTATCGTTTAAGCACATTCTTCACGTCCTGGCTCCAACAAACTTTAGCGAGTTGATGATTTTCGTTGGTCACCCTGCCATTCCAGTGGTCCATAGGTTGAAATCCTCAGCTAATAAGTTTTTTTTTTACTGTCCCCAGAGGGCAGCACGGGTCACTCCCATCCGATTAACTGTCCTAGCTCTGTCATGCCAGCTATATTTTGTAAAAGATCACAGTTTGAAAGCACTGTGTTGCCAAAATGTGTGAGGTGAGTGTCACAATTATTTGTGCAACTATATTCTAAACACGTGCTTATATGTGCTCATAGGAGTTCGCTGCCCAAAGAGTACTGGATGTCGCCCTCCAAGGCGCTGTTAGAAATGGAACTGAGGAAGAACGAAGAAGTCGGCAAGGACCTAACCAAGGACATAACTGATAGCAGTACACTGATGAAACACAAGGTAAATGTGACGGACGGCTTGTCTAGTCCATTCATGTAGATCTTATTGACATGGTGTTTGTTTTGCCAATACTCCTCCATTCATGCAGACATCGGCAACTTCTACAACTTTATATTGTTCATGAAATGCATTTTCCACAAATGTGTAACATTTGTAAATGTGCTTATCACACCCACATACTAGGGAGTCGCCGTGGCGGAGCGGCTAGACGCTCGCCGCGGATCGGAAGGTCGTGGGTTACTCCCTGGTGGAGCCAGACTTTTCTCAAAAATGACCTTGGCTTCAAGGTCGACCCAGTCTTGAGTGGGTACAGAGTGCAGTCCTGGGAAGTAAAGGAGGTCGGTGTGATGCAGACCACATCACCCATCTTGTGCCGATTGGTCTATAAAATATAGGTCTAGCCCTATATAACCTAAAGGCTTGGAAAAGGGTCCTTTACTTACACCCACTTACTGTTTGTAAGATGAGTTTGTGATAGCCACATACTGTTTGTAAGATGAGTTTGTGATAGCCACATACTGTTTGTAAGATGAGTTTGTGATAGCCACATACTGTTTGTAAGATGAGTTTGTGATAGCCACATACTGTTTGTAAGATGAGTTTGTCCTAGCCACATACTGTTTGTAAGATGAGTTTGTCCTAGCCACATACTGTTTGTAAGATGAGTTTGTCATAGCCACATACTGTTTGTAAGATGAGTTTGTCCTAGAAACATACTGTTTGTAAGATGAGTTTGTCATAGCCACATACTGTTTGTAAGATGAGTTTGTCCTAGCCACATACTGTTTGTAAGATGAGTTTGTCATAGCCACATACTGGTTGTAAGATGAGTTTGTCATAGCCACATACTGTTTGTAAGATGAGTTTGTCCTAGCCACATACTGTTTGTAAGATGAGTTTGTGATAGCCACATACTGTTTGTAAGATGAGTTTGTCATAGCCACATACTGTTTGTAAGATGAGTTTGTGATAGCCACATACTGTTTGTAAGATGAGTTTGTCATAGCCACATACTGTTTGTAAGATGAGTTTGTCCTAGCCACATACTGTTTGTAAGATGAGTTTGTGATAGCCACATACTGTTTGTAAGATGAGTTTGTCATAGCCAAATACTGTTTGTAAGATGAGTTTGTGATAGCCACATACTGTTTGAAAGATGAGTTTGTCCTAGCCACATACTGTTTGTAAGATGAGTTTGTCATAGCTATACTAGTTTTTAAGGTGAGTTTGTCATACATAGCTATACTACTGTTTGTAAGATGAGTTTGTCCTAGCCACATACTGTTTGTAAGATGAGTTTGTCCTTGCCACATACTGTTTGTAAGATGAGTTTGTCATAGCCACATACTGTTTGTAAGGTGAGTTTGTCCTAACCACATACTGTTTGTAAGCTGAGTTGGTCATAGCCACATACTGTTTGTAAGATGAGTTTGTCATAGCTATACTACTGTTTGTAAGATGAGTTTGTCCTAGCCACATACTGTTTGTATGATGAGTTTGTCCTAGCAATACTACTGTTTGTAAGATGAGTTTTTCCATAGCTATACTACTATTTGTAAGATGTGTTTGTCATAGCCATACTACTGTTTGTAAGATGAGTTTGTCCTAGCCACATACTGTTTGTAAGATGAGTTTGCCACAGCCACATACTGTTTGTAAGATGTGTTTGTCATAGCCCCATACTGTTTGTAAGATGTGTTTGTCACAGCCCCATACTGTTTGTAAGATGTGTTTGTCATAGCCACACACTGTTTGTGAGATGTGTTTGTCACAGCCACATACTGTTTGTGAGATGAGTTTGCCATAGCCACATACTGTTTTTAGATCAGTTTGTCATAGCCACACACTGTTTATAAGATGAGTTTGCCATAGCCACCTACTGTTTGTAAAATGTGTTTGTCATAGCCACACACTGTTTGTGAGATGTGTTTGTCACAGCCACATACTGTTTGTGAGATGAGTTTGTCATAGCCACATACTGTTTGTAAGATGAGTTTGTCATAGCCACATACTGTTTGTAAAATGAGTTTGTCCTAGCCATACTACTGTTTGTAAGATGAGTTTGTCATAGCTATACTAGTTTTTAAGATGAGTTTGTCATACATAGCTATACTACTGTTTGTAAGATGAGTTTGTCCTAGCCACATACTGTTTGTAAGATGAGTTTGTCCTAGCTACATACTGTTTGTAAGATGAGTTTGTCATAGCCACATACTGTTTGTAAGGTGAGTTTGTCCTAACCACATACTGTTTGTAAGCTGAGTTGGTCATAGCCACATACTGTTTGTAAGATGAGTTTGTCATAGCTATACTACTGTTTGTAAGATGAGTTTGTCCTAGCCACATACTGTTTGTTTGATGAGTTTGTCCTAGCCATACTACTGTTTGTAAGATGAGTTTTTCCATAGCTATACTACTATTTGTAAGATGTGTTTGTCATAGCCATACTACTGTTTGTAAGATGAGTTTGTCCTAGCCACATACTGTTTGTAAGATGAGTTTGCCACAGCCACATATTGTTTGTAAGATGTGTTTGTCATAGCCCCATACTGTTTGTAAGATGTGTTTGTCACAGCCCCATACTGTTTGTAAGATGTGTTTGCCATAGCCACACACTGTTTGTGAGATGTGTTTGTCACAGCCACATACTGTTTGTGAGATGAGTTTGTCATAGCCACATACTGTTTTTAGATCAGTTTGTCATAGCCACACACTGTTTATAAGATGAGTTTGCCATAGCCACATACTGTTTGTAAAATGTGTTTGTCATACCCACACACTGTTTGTGAGATGTGTTTGTCACAGCCACATACTGTTTGTGAGATGAGTTTGTCATAGCCACATACTGTTTGTAAGATGAGTTTGTCATAGCCACATACTGTTTGTAAAATGAGTTTGTCCTAGCCATACTACTGTTTGTAAGATGAGTTTTTCATAGCTATACTACTATTTGTAATTTGTGTTTGTCATAGCCATACTACTGTTTGTAAGATGAGTTTGTCCTAGCCACATACTGTTTGTAAGATGAGTTTGCCATAGCCACATACTGTTTGTAAGATGAGTTTGTCATAGCCACATACTGTTTGTAAGATGAGTCTGTCATAGCCACATACTGTTTTTAGATGAGTTTGACATAACCACACACTGTTTGTAAGATGAGTCTGTCATAGCCATACACTGTTTATAAGATGAGTTTGTCATAGCCACACACTGTTTGTAAGATGAGTCTGTCATAGCCACACACTGTTTGTAGATGCGTTTGTCATAGCCACATACTGTTTGTAAGATGAGTTTGTCATAGCCACATACTGTTTGTAAGATGAGTTTGTGATAGCCACATACTGTTTATAAGATGAGTTTATCACAGCTAAGTTTCTTGTGAACATTTTCAGGAAGAGCTAATGCAGAAACTCCACAAGAAGCTGGAAGTGTTGAAGGAGGAGAAGGTGTCCCTGCAGCAGGAGATCATCGACAACAACTTGCTGGGCAAGCAGGTCAGTCAGTCAGTCGCTGTTGGTGGTGGTTTGGGCTCTCTGTGGGGCTTTTCAGATTTTACTTGGATTATGTGTCTTTCTGAACATTCACCTGTCTTGGATTATTTCATCTTCTGAATGAAACATTCTGCATGATTGGTTGCTTTTTGAGACTCATTGAATGGTTGGTTGTTTGTTGAGTCTCATTGAATGATTGGTCGGTTTTTGGGTCTCACTGAATGACTTTTTTTTTTTTTTTGGTTGGTTAGTTGAGTCCCATTGAATGATTGGTTGATTCTTGGGTTCTATTGAATGAAGGTTTGTTTGTTGAGTCTCATGGAAACTGAGGAGGCGGTAAAGGCAAGGTTACATTCTAGTCAGTAAACAAGTCACTCGTTAACAGCATATGGTTCAGTTCTCCATCACATGAGCTGAGCAAATTGTGGGGTCTGGACCTCTCGCATCAAAATTTACTTGGACTGTCCTGCAGTCCCTCATGACACAAAGTTTGTAAGACAGAGGACAGTTCCTCACACAGCAGGGGTGATGAATTATTAGCCCAGTGTACAGGCAGGAGAAAACTGGGGAGACACAGATGAGCAGTGGGGAAGACACATGGAGGGGCCTGCAGGAAATAGCACAGATAGCAATTACTTGATGTCAGTGGGTGGATGGCTGACCTCCAGTGGTGGAGAAAGGGCAGGAAGATAAGGGTTTTATTCTTGAATACATTTATTATCTGATTTCCTTCCATGATGAAGTTTTCTGTAAACACGGATCCTGTTATCACTTACCCTAAATGCACAGTCATTTACACACTTGCAGCTTTGTGTGTTCACACCCCTCTTCTTTCATCAAGAAATGTGGTTGAGGATTTCCTAACCCATTCACAACTGTAAAGTTACCTTTGCAGGCGGCTGTAACTGACATATAACGCTGTAACTGACATGCACGTACATATTTCCTCTTATTAGGTTTGCCAGATAGTGGATGCCAGGTGCCAGAACCACAGCGAGCGGGACAAGTTCAAGACCTACATCGAGGACCTAGAGAAGATTGTCCGTCTGCTGCTGAACTTGTCAGGTCAACTGGCCAGGGCCGAGAATGCAGTCCAGGCACTGGGTCCACAGGTGGATTCCAAGCTAAAGGTACATAACTCCCAGTGACATTCCCTTGCCACGGAAACATAACTCCCAGTGACATTCCCTTGCCAGGGAAACATAACTCCCAGTGACATTCCCTTGCCAGGGAAACATAACTCCCAGTGACATTCCCTTGCCCATGGCAGAGAGGACACCTAGTGAGGAAACTGGTAGTGATCCTGCTATGACTCTTTTCTCTGAGTCTAGTCATTCGCAGACTTCTCCAGTGTATACTGTCAGGTGTCAAGAGGTCGCTGCATCTCTGTTGTCACTTCTCGATTGTATACTGGCAGATGTCAAGTAGTCGCTGCATCACTGTTGTCACTTCACCAGTGTATACTGGCCGGTGTCAAGAGGTCGCTGCATCACTGTTGTCACTTCTCCAGTGTATACTGGCCGGTGTCAAGAGGTCGCTGCATCACTGTTGTCACTTCTCCAGTGTATACTGGCCGGTGTCAAGAGGTCGCTGCATCACTGTTGTCACTTCACCAGTGTATAGTGGCCGGTGTCAAGAGGTCGCTGCATCACTGTTGTCACTTCACCAGTGTATACTGGCCGGTGTCAAGAGGTCGCTGCATCACTGTTGTCACTTCTCCAGTGTATACTGGCCGGTGTCAAGAGGTCGCTGCATCACTGTTGTCACTTCTCCAGTGTATACTGGCCGGTGTCAAGAGGTCGCTGCATCACTGTTGTCACTTCACCAGTGTATAGTGGCCGGTGTCAAGAGGTCGCTGCATCACTGTTGTCACTTCACCAGTGTATAGTGGCCGGTGTCAAGAGGTCGCTGCATCACTGTTGTCACTTCTCCAGTGTATACTGGCAGATGTCAAGTGGTCGCTGCATCACTGATTTCACTTCTCCAGTGTATACTGGCCGGTGTCAAGAGGTCGCTGCATCACTGTTGTCACTTCTCCAGTGTATACTGGCAGGTGTCAAGAGGTCGCTGCATCACTGTTTGTGAACCTAGGGACAGCAATACATTTACAGTTCACATGGGTTTCTGAACTCTTTTATTTGGTTCAGAGGGTTTTTTGGGATTCTCTGCTGCTGGATTTAAATCAGAATATTGAATCATCAAGTTTGCTGACCACTGATCTAGCCCTATGGTATGGACATTATTAGTGGCCTGGCCAACTCCAATGACAGGAAGCACCAGGGTACATACCTGTCTCCCCAGTTGTCATGTGTTTGAGTCCTGTCCCTCCAGCGGTCATGTCTGTCTCCCCAGTTGTCACGTGTTTGAGTCCTGTCCCTCCAGCGGTCATGTCTGTCTCCCCAGTTGTCACGTGTTTGGGTCATGTCCCTCCAGTGGTCATGTCTGTCTCCCCAGTTGTCTGTGTTAAGTCCTGTCCCTCCAGTGGTCATGTCTGTCTCCCCAGTGGTCATGTGTTCACGTCCTGCCCCCACCCCCCCCCCCCCCACCCCAGTGATCATGTGTTTGAGTCCTGTTCTCCCCCCCCCCCTTTTCCAGTGGCTGTGTCCCTCAGTAGATGTGTGGGTGTGACTTCCATTGACCTAGGTACCCAGGTCAGCCAAGCTTAAAGTGACTAGGATAAAATGTTGTGGAAAATAAAAGTGGTCAGTGTTATATTGACATCACCATCGAGCACTTGTTGGTGGGTTAAAGTGACGGTCTAGAGCCATATACCCGATACACTGCAGACATGGAAACCGATCTTTGCCTTGGCTTAGCATGATAGCTTGACTTGACTTACATTGGATAGTGTGGTGTCAACAGTTCAAACAGAATTCTAATTCTGTTTTATTTTTCTTATCACAGAAACTGACGATAGACAAGAGAGAAAGACTGTTTGCCAAACATGAGGAGGCAAAGTTTCTCAAAGAAGACATCGACAAACGCAGCGAGCAGTTGTCTGGGGTGCTGCGAGAAAGACTCACCGAGAGAGAGTTCACAGACTACACACATTTTATCAAAATGAAGTCCAGATTGACCATCGAGCTGCAAGAGCTGGACGACAAGATCACCTTAGGGGAGGAGCAAATCTTGGAGCTCAAGAAGAGCATACCTGACTAGAGTTCATTGTAGCCACAGCTCATGATGTGGTAGATGTTTTCACTGCTCATAAAGTATCCAGAGTTTATCGTTGTGGTTTTTTTTTTTTCAAGAACATACCTTTTAACGCAGACTGTACAGATTAGAGTCACTGTAGTCGAAAGTCATTATGGGATAGAAATTTGATTACAGATTATTATGGCTCAGAGTTCTTCGTAGTTAAGCAGTTCTGGGATATATGTTTCAGGACAGATCATACCTGATCCTGAATGTTTTATAGCTGAACAGTTCTGGGATAGATGTCTTTTCTATAATAATCTGAGAATTTGGCACTTCTTCTCTGAGTGAACATTTGCTGCTAGAGATTGCAGGTGATTTGTTTCAGTGGTTCCAGGGTGACATGCTTCAACAGGACGCCAATCTGTGGTCATTATTTAAACATAGCCGCAGATGGAAGGATGTAGATGAGATACCCAGCAGTGAAAACTCAATAGCCGCAGATGGAAGGATGTAGATGAGATACCCAGCAGTGAAAACTCAATAGCCGCAGATGGAAGGATGTAGATGAGATACCCAGCAGTGAAAACTCAATAGCCGCAGATGGAAGGATGTAGATGAGATACCCCCGCAGTGAAAACTCAATAGCCGCAGATGGAAGGATGTAGATGAGATACCCAGCAGTGAAACTCAATAGCCGCAGATGGAAGGATGTAGATGAGATACCCAGCAGTGAAAACTCAATAGCCGCAGATGGAAGGATGTAGATGAGATACCCAGCAGTGAAAACTCAATAGCCGCAGATGGAAGGATGTAGATGAGATACCCAGCAGTGAAAACTCAATAGCCGCAGATGGAAGGATGTAGATGAGATACCCAGCAGTGAAAACTCACTGAAATGTTAATTTGACTTTATATTTGTATATGTGAGAGAGAGAAAGAGACTAAGAAAAATTACTTTTCACAGAACTGAAGTGACTGATGATAAATTTCTTATAAACCTTTGACCGTACGTCCTAAAAATATTTTTTGTTAATTCTTACCAACTGTGCACAAATGTACAGAAGCTGTAAGAATCTGCAGAATTCTTCATGTAACCAGAAGAGACAAGATGAAAAATAATGTGATCAGGTAACAGGCTCGTGTGCCCGCAGATTTCTGGTACTTAAACACAACAGACACAGCAAAAGGTCACACTGTGGTTACAATGAAGTGGTGAATTTCTGAAGCTATCAAGTTTAGGGCACACATCAGCTGAAAAGTCAACAAAGATAGAGAGAAGAAGCATTTCCACTTGAAAGTCATCATCTATGCAAGTCACAGCCTTCAACATTCACCTGTGGGTGCTGTCGTCACATCCATGTTTATGTGTCATTGTTCTTGTTTCCATGGACAGATGTTCTGCTTAGTTTTGAGAAATGGGTCATTCCTGTAGTTGTAGTTGACCTTTTATTGCGCAGTGTTCTGGAAATTATGGTCTAGTTAGATCCGAACATCTGCCTACAGAAGTTAAGTTTCCGGTCTTTCACAACCAACCCCAGAATGTGTTATTTGTTAGTAGTCATTTTACATTCAGTAGTTTGCCATTGCCTTTCCCACAACAAAGCTCATACCAGTGCGGCAAAGAGTGGCAAGCTTAGGGCGAAGACAGCCACTGCCAGATCTTTTTCTTAGTGTTTATTGGCTGTACACTCCAGCAAAGAAAGTTCAGGTTGTTCATCCACTTTCAGACTTTGGTCTTGTTTAAAAAATTCTGCATATTCACTTCACAAATCTCGCTTATTTTTTATGCAGACTGTTTGTTCCTCGTCACTCAGATGCATTCCGACTTTTTAAAAACGGGGGAGGGGGGGTTGTGAGTGAATCTATTACCCACCCCAGAATGTTAATTCTTCCGTCATTCATGTGACCTCCAATGACCCTTAATTGTTTATGCGTGTAATTGCACATATAAATTTGATTGTGTATACGAATGTGATATCAAGAACAACAAACAAAACTGTTCTCAGAGATGACATATTTATGTCATAAAGTATGTTTGATGATTCGCCCCCCACCGCAAGACCTGGGCTGCCTCAAAAAACACATATCTGTTCCACAAAGGCTTTCACTTGTATATGTTTTTATTACCATTTTTAAAGACCAATTATTTTGTATGTGTTGTAGCCAGCTCACTGGACATTTGTTGTCACTGTGGCACAGTGTCTTGGTCACATTGTCTCAAGTTTAATTCTCTGCATCATTTACAAGCAAGGGAACAATTATGTTATGTGGTGCCACGATGAGAGCACAAGGAAGAAGAAAGGGAACAATTATGTTATATATGGTGCCACGATGAGAGCACAAGGAAGAAGAAAGGGAACAATAACATTATATGGTGCCACTATAAGAGCACAAGGAAGAAGAAAGGGAACAATTATGTTATATGGTGCCACAAGGGAGAAGAAAGGGAACAATAACATTATATGGTGCCACTATAAGAGCACAAGGAAGAAGAAAGGGAACAATTATAGCAAGTAGTTCTATGGTGCCACCTAAAGGAACCACATAACTGATATTAGAAGACCTCTGATTTAGTGGGCTGAGATCTGATTTAGAGATCACAGATTTCTCAGTTTGCATTTTGTACTGCTTACTTGTAGATACTAACTTCAGATATGAAGAGCTGTCAAGAGTATGAATATGCAGAAGCCTTATCAAGGTGTTGTGTGTGTGAGGTTTTCCTGGCTTTTTATTGGTATTTGTACCAAATATTTGGTCTTACATGTGATAACAAGTGTATGCAAATGGTCTTATTTTTATCCAGACCAGAGGGTAGAAGATCAACAATCAAGCTAGCAAGATTTATGCAGTCTGCAAGAACAGCAGCCTTGTCATTTCCTGCGCTTCATGAGTTGAACAGAAAGGAATGATTTCAGGCACTCAGTGTTTACACAGTGAGAAGTGAAACATCAGTGTTCCTGCCTGCCAATTAAGCCATCATGTGATGTGACTTCTTGATTCACCTGGTCACAGGCAAGTGCTGCACAGGCAGTGCAGCTTGGTGGTGTATGTGTGAAGTATGTAGTAGCTTGGTGGTGGTGTGTGTGTGAAGTATGTAGTAGTAGCTTGGTGGTGTATGTGAAGTATGTAGTAGCTTGGTGGTGGTGTATGTGAAGTATGTAGCAGCTTAGTGGTGTGTGTGTGAAGTATGTAGCAGCCCTGTGGTGTGTGTGTGAAGTACTTAGCAGCTTGGTGGTGTGTGTGTGAAGTATGTAGCAGCTTGGTGGTGTGTGTGTGTGAAGTATGTAGCAGCTTGGTGGTGTGTGTGTGTGAAGTATGTAGCAGCTTGGTGGTGTGTGTGTGAAGTATGTAGTAGTAGCTTGGTGGTGTATGTGAAGTATGTAGTAGCTTGGTGGTGGTGTATGTGAAGTATGTAGCAGCTTAGTGGTGTGTGTGTGAAGTATGTAGCAGCCCTGTGGTGTGTGTGTGAAGTACTTAGCAGCTTGGTGGTGTGTGTGTGTGAAGTATGTAGCAGCTTGGTGGTGTGTGTGTGTGTGAAGTATGTAGCAGCTTGATGGTGTGTGTGTGTGAAGTATGTAGCAGCTTGGTGGTGTGTGTGTGTGTGAAGTATGTAGCAGCTTGGTGGTGTGTGTGTGTGTGAAGTATGTAGCAGCTTGGTGGTGTGTGTGTGTGAAGTATGTAGTAGCTTGGTGGTGTGTGTGTGTGTGAAGTATGTAGTAGCTTGGTGGTGTGTGTGTGTGAAGTATGTAGTAGTAGCTTGGTGGTGTGTGTGTGTGAAGTATGTAGTAGTAGCTTGGTGGTGTGTGTGTGTGAAGTATGTAGTAGCTTGGTGGTGTGTGTGTGTGAAGTATGTAGTAGCAGCTTGGTGGTGTGTGTGTGTGAAGTATGTAGTAGCAGCTTGGTGGTGTGTGTGTGTGAAGTATGTAGTAGCAGCTTGGTGGTGTGTGTGTGTGAAGTATGTAGTAGCTTGGTGGTGTGTGTGTGTGAAGTATGTAGTAGCTTGGTGGTGTGTGTGTGTGAAGTATGTAGTAGCAGCTTGGTGGTGTGTGTGTGTGTGAAGTATGTAGTAGCTTGGTGGTGTGTGTGTGTGAAGTATGTAGTAGCTTGGTGGTGTGTGTGTGTGAAGTATGTAGTAGCAGCTTGGTGGTGTGTGTGTGTGTGAAGTATGTAGTAGCTTGGTGGTGTGTGTGTGTGAAGTATGTAGTAGCTTGGTGGTGTGTGTGTGAAGTATGTAGTAGCTTGGTGGTGTGTGTGTGAAGTATGTAGCAGCTTGGTGGTGTGTGTGTGTGAAGTATGTAGTAGCTTGGTGGTGTGTGTGTGTGTGAAGTATGTAGTAGCTTGGTGGTGTGTGTGTGAAGTATGTAGTAGCTTGGTGGTGTGTGTGTGTGAAGTATGTAGTAGCTTGGTGGTGTGAAGTATGTAGTAGCTTGGTGGTGTGAAGTATGTAGTAGCTTGGTGGTGTGTGTGTGAAGTATGTAGTAGCTTGGTGGTGTGTGTGTGAAGTATGTAGCAGCTTGGTGGTGTGTGTGTGTGAAGTATGTAGTAGCTTGGTGGTGTGTGTGTGTGAAGTATGTAGCAGCTTGGTGGTGTGTGTGTGTGAAGTATGTAGTAGCTTGGTGGTGTGTGTGTGAAGTATGTAGTAGCTTGGTGGTGTGTGTGTGTGAAGTATGTAGTAGCTTGGTGGTGTGTGTGTGTGAAGTATGTAGTAGCTTGGTGGTGTGTGTGTGTGAAGTATGTAGTAGCTTGGTGGTGTGTGTGTGTGAAGTATGTAGTAGCTTGGTGGTGTGTGTGTGTGAAGTATGTAGTAGCTTGGTGGTGTGTGTGTGAAGTATGTAGCAGCTTGGTGGTGTGTGTGTGAAGTATGTAGTAGCTTGGTGGTGTGTGTGTGTGAAGTATGTAGCAGCTTGGTGGTGTGTGTGTGTGTGAAGTATGTAGCAGCTTGGTGGTGTGTGTGTGTGTGAAGTATGTAGCAGCTTGGTGGTGTGTGTGTGAAGTATGTAGCAGCTTGGTGGTGTGTGTGTGAAGTATGTAGCAGCTTGGTGGTGTGTATGTGAAGTATGTAGCAGCTTGGTGGTGTGTATGTGAAGTATGTAGTAGCTTGGTGGTGTGTGTGTGTGTGAAGTATGTAGCAGCTTGGTGGTGTGTGTGTGAAGTATGTAGCAGCTTGGTGGTGTGTATGTGAAGTATGTAGTAGCTTGGTGGTGTGTGTGTGTGTGTGTGAAGTATGTAGTAGCTTGGTGGTGAAGTATGTAGCAGCTTGGTGGTGTGTGTGTGTGTGTGAAGTATGTAGCAGCTTGGTGGTGTGTGTGTGTGTGAAGTATGTAGCAGCTTGGTGGTGTGTGTATGTGAAGTATGTAGTAGCTTGGTGGTGTGTGTATGTGAAGTATGTAGCAGCTTGGTGGTGTGTGTGTGTGTGAAGTATGTAGCAGCTTGGTGGTGTGTGTATGTGAAGTATGTAGTAGCTTGGTGGTGTGTGTGTGTGTGAAGTATGTAGCAGCTTGGTGGTGTGTGTGTGTGTGAAGTATGTAGCAGCTTGGTGGTGTGTGTATGTGAAGTATGTAGTAGCTTGGTGGTGTGTGTGTGTGTGTGAAGTATGTAGTAGCTTGGTGGTGTGTGAAGTATGTAGCAGCTTGGTGGTGTGTGTGTGAAGTATGTAGCAGCTTGGTGGTGTGTGTGTGTGAAGTATGTAGTAGCTTGGTGGTGTGTGTGTGTGAAGTATGTAGTAGCTTGGTGGTGTGTGTGTGTGTGAAGTATGTAGTAGCTTGGTGGTGTGTGTGTGTGTGAAGTATGTAGCAGCTTGGTGGTGTGTGTGTGTGTGAAGTATGTAGCAGCTTGGTGGTGTGTGTGTGTGTGTGAAGTATGTAGCAGCTTGGTGGTGTGTGTGTGTGTGAAGTATGTAGCAGCTTGGTGGTGTGTGTGTGTGTGAAGTATGTAGCAGCTTGGTGGTGTGTGTGTGTGTGAAGTATGTAGTAGCTTGGTGGTGTGTGTGTGTGAAGTATGTAGCAGCTTGGTGGTGTGTGTGTGTGTGAAGTATGTAGCAGCTTGGTGGTGTGTGTGTGTGTGAAGTATGTAGCAGCTTGGTGGTGTGTGTGTGAAGTATGTAGCAGCTTGGTGGTGTGTATGTGAAGTATGTAGCAGCTTGGTGGTGTGTGTGTGAAGTATGTAGCAGCTTGGTGGTGTGTGTGTGAAGTATGTAGCAGCTTGGTGGTGTGTATGTGAAGTATGTAGCAGCTTGGTGGTGTGTGTGTGAAGTATGTAGCAGCTTGGTGGTGTGTGTGTGAAGTATGTAGCAGCTTGGTGGTGTATGTGAAGTATGTAGCAGCTTGGTGGTGCATGTGAAGTATGTAGCAGCTTGGTGGTGTGTGTGTGAAGTATGTAGCAGCTTGGTGGTGTGTGTGTGAAGTATGTAGCAGCTTGGTGGTGTATGTGAAGTATGTAGCAGCTTGGTGGTGTATGTGAAGTATGTAGCAGCTTGGTGGTGTATGTGAAGTATGTAGCAGCTTGGTGGTGTATGTGAAGTATGTAGCAGCTTGGTGGTGTATGTGAAGTATGTAGCAGCTTGGTGGTGTATGTGAAGTATGTAGCAGCTTGGTGGTGTATGTGAAGTATGTAGTAACATGATGATGCTATTCAACCCCACATTTCCATCCCCTTTTGGTATTCATTTATGCAAAATATTCTGTATTCATACAATCTTTCTACCACTACTGTACATATTATGTAAAAACAATGTATATAGATAGACATGTTGGTAAATTGTTGTTGGAAAATAGTGAATATTGATTCACATTATGGGTGAGAGAATATTAATGTGGACTGTTGCATTATGAGTGAGAATATTAATGTGGACTGTTTCCTCTGCACAAATGGCCTGTTGCACTGTGGGGGGAAAATCTGTATAGAAGGCAAAATGATGCTAAAGTAGAGCCCTGATACAAGCTGAAGCAACAACAAAATGGATCCAGTCTGCCCCTGTTTAGATCATGTTGGGAAAGAACCAGAACATTTCTGGATAGCAATGTTTTTGTTTTATATCCAATTTGTAGGAGGTGCATGTGCATGAGGTATATGTGCATGAGGGAAATTGTAAACACAATGTGAAACCACATCTAGTGTATATGATGCAGACAGAGTGCGCTAGTTGTAATGCCTCGTTTTCTTTGTGCATTATAAGAAAATAAATGTGTGCGAACATGCTAGTCCTGTAAGTTCATACATCATCTGGCAGTCAACAACAAAAGTTACCTGTCAACAAATGTTTTAGGTAGGGGGGTTGTGTGTAAGGACACCACTACAGATTGTATAGGTAAGGATATTTTTTTTTGGGTCCCCTAACAGAAATGGTCACCTTACCAAAGTCTCTTGCATGAGAGGCCAGCGTTCTCTAGCCACCCGATCTGCCTAAACAGGGATATTCCCTACACTGCTGAAGGCTCACACACATTTAGTTATCCATTCTCCACCAATGTCATTTCCTCCAAATGTTCTCTCAAACATAAAATATTTGCACATTTCTCATACTGGTTGCTTAAAGAGGCAGTGAAACATCAGAGACCAACATGATATAGTGGCATGCTAGCTCTCAGCCATGGACACATACAGCCCATAGTGGCATGCTAACTCCCAGCCATGGACACATACAGCCCATAGTGGCATGCTAACTCCCAGCCATGGACACATACAGCCCATAGTGGCATGCTAACTCCCAGCCATGGACACATACAGCCCATAGTGGCATGCTAGCTCCCAGCCATGGACACATACAGCCCATAGTGGCATGCTAACTCCCAGCCATGGACACATACAGCCCATAGTGGCATGCTAGCTCTCAGCCATGGACACATACAGCCCATAGTGGCATGCTAGCTCCCAGCCATGGACACATACAGCCCATAGTGGCATGCTAACTCCCAGCCATGGACACATACAGCCCATAGTGGCATGCTAGCTCTCAACCATGGACACATACAGCCCATAGTGGCATGCTAGCTCCCAGCCATGGACACATACAGCCCATAGTGGCATGCTAACTCCCAGCCATGGACACATACAGCCCATAGTGGCATGCTAACTCCCAGCCATGGACACATACAGCCCATAGTGGCATGCTAGCTCCCAGCCATGGACACATACAGCCCATAGTGGCATGCTAACTCCCAGCCATGGACACATACAGCCCATAGTGGCATGCTAGCTCTCAGCCATGGACACATACAGCCCATAGTGGCATGCTAGCTCCCAGCCATGGACACATACAGCCCATAGTGGCATGCTAACTCCCAGCCATGGACACATACAGCCCATAGTGGCATGCTAGCTCTCAACCATGGACACATACAGCCCATAGTGGCATGCTAGCTCTCAGCCATGGACACATACAGCCCATAGTGGCATGCTAGCTCCCAGCCATGGACACATACAGCCCATAGTGGCATGCTAACTCCCAGCCATGGACACATACAGCCCATAGTGGCATGCTAGCTCTCAGCCATGGACACATACAGCTCATAGTGGCATGCTAGCTCCCAGCGATGGACACATACAGCCCATAGTGGCATGCTAGCTCCCAGCACACATACAGCCCATAGTGGCATGCTAGCTTCCAGTCATAGACACATACAGCCCATAGTGGCATGCTAGCTCCCAGCCATGGACACATACAGCCCATAGTGGCATGCTAGCTCTCAACCATGGACACATACAGCCCATAGTGGCATGCTAGCTCTCAGCCATGGACACATACAGCCCATAGTGGCATGCTAACTCCCAGCCATGGACACATACAGCCCATAGTGGCATGCTAGCTCCCAGCCATGGACACATACAGCCCACAGTTGCATGCTAGCTCCCAGCCATGGACACATACAGCCCACAGTTGCATGCTAGCTTCCAGCCATGGACACATACAGCCCATAGAGGCATGCTAGCTCTCAACCATACAGCCCATAGTGGCATGCTAGCTCTCAGCCATAGACACATACAGCCTATAGTGGCATGCTAGCTCCCAGCCATAGACAATACAGCCCATAGTGGCATGCTAGCTCCCAGCCATAGACAATACAGCCCATAGTGGCATGCTAGCTCCCAGCCATTGACACATACAGCCCATAGTGGCATGCTAGCTTCCAGCCATAGACACATACAGTCCATAGTGGCATGCTAGCTTCCAGCCATAGACACACAGCCCATAGTGGCATGCTAGCTTCCAGTCATAGACACATACAGCCCATAGTGGCATGCTAGCTCCCAGCCATGGACACATACAGCCCACAGTGGCATGCTAGCTCCCAGCCATGGACACATATAGCCCATAGTGGCATGCTAGCTCCCAGCCATGGACACATACAGCCCATAGTGGCATGCTAGCTCCCTGCCATGGACACATACAGCCCATAGTGGCATGCTAGCTCCCAGCCATGGACACATACAGCCCATAGTGGCATGCTAGCTCCCAGCCATGGACACATACAGCCCATAGTGGCATGCTAGCTCCCTGCCATGGACACATACAGCCCATAGTGGCATGCTAGCTCCCAGCCATGGACACATACAGCCCATAGTGGCATGCTAGCTCCCAGCCATGGACACATACAGCCCACAGTGGCATGCTAGCTCCCAGCGATGGACACATACAGCCCATAGTAGCATGCTAGCTCCCAGCCATGGACACATACAGCCCATAGTGGCATGCTAGCTCCCAGCCATGAACACATACAGCCCATAGTGGCATGCTAACTCCCAGCGATGGACACATACAGCCCATAGTGGCATGCTAGCTCCCAGCCATGGACACATACAGCCCACAGTGGCATGCTAACTCCCAGCGATGGACACATACAGCCCACAGTGGCATGCTAGCTCCCAGCCATGGACACATACAGCCCACAGTGGCATGCTAGCTCCCAGCGATGGACACATACAGCCCATAGTGGCATGCTAGCTCCCAGCGATGGACACATACAGTCCATAGTGGCATGCTAGCTCCCAGCCATGGACACATACAGCCCACAGTGGCATGCTAGCTCCCAGCGATGGACACATACAGCCCACAGTGGCATGCTAGCTCCCAGCGATGGACACATACAGCCCACAGTGGCATGCTAGCTCCCAGCGATGGACACATACAGCCCATAGTGGCATGCTAGCTCCCAGCCATGGACACATACAGCCCACAGTGGCATGCTAGCTCCCAGCCATGGACACATACAGCCCACAGTGGCATGCTAGCTCCCAGCCATAGACACATACAGCCCATAGTGGCATGCTAGCTCCCAGCGATGGACACATACAGCCCATAGTGGCATGCTAGCTCCCAGCGATGGACACATACAGCCCACAGTGGCATGCTAGCTCCCAGCGATGGACACATACAGCCCATAGTGGCATGCTAGCTCCCAGCCATGGACACATACAGCCACAGTGGCATGCTAGCTCCCAGCCATGGACACATACAGCCCACAGTGGCATGCTAGCTCCCAGCCATAGACACATACAGCCCATAGTGGCATGCTAGCTCCCAGCGATGGACACATACAGCCCATAGTGGCATGCTAGCTCCCTGCCATGGACACATACAGCCCAGGTCTGCTGCTTGTGGTTGCTGCTAGTCAGCAAACTGTTATGACAGTGAATTTCCTTCCCCAAATTACCTCCAATACATTTACCTGCAATTCAGTGATTCTCTTGTCTATCCTGTAATCTACCAGGCTGCCACTTTAACCACAATTGTTTCCCCCCACCCTCAAGAATCAGCTGTACTTATGAATAGTATGACCAATATCCTGGCTATCGAACAAACATGATAATAGAATAATTAGAATGTTCAAGCCCTGGAACCCACATCAGCTGAATGCATTCTGCAAGATCCATATCTTCAACAAGACTGTTGACACCAGAAAAGTTTCTGCATATGACCACAAACAATGATGGCTCCTGAGACTCAACAAACTTACTTCTGTATAAACATTTCTTCAATGCTCTTGTCAGGAAAACCGTAGACATGTTGGGTAGAATGTAGTCGTAGTGTGATGATCTCAGACACAGGTATGAGAGTAAAGTAAAGGCCCTACCTCACCTCGGGCACTACTTTGTGCTGTTTTTACAGGGATCCTAATGCAAGACTCCTGCCACATGTCCTCGCGGTTTACTACGGATAATGACTTATATCAATATATCAACCTAAACTGAGCTAGCAGGGGATCTCCGAGTTAGTAGCCCCCAGAAATAAAGTGCCCAGAAACCCTCTGGCACTTGTCGGTCCACCCTCTGTTCATGAGTGATAATGTACTAGAAAACAATCACTGGAACATGAATGATGTCCACAGTCCAAGTACCTTATTAAACGACTGTTTGGCTGTTTAAGTTCAAATTTTCATTTGAGTCACAGCAAAGGTTCAGAGGTTCATGGCTCAAAGATCATACTGTGTCACACAAGAGGTTCAAATGTCTGCTACCAACAGTGTAAAGACGATACACAGAGAAACCATGTCTAATGCCTGGGGAAGTGTCCTCTAGCATCGACATGAAAAGATGCCATTGTCAAACAGAGATCTGTAACATGCTGAGGAGGTGAGATGCCCATCTGTGCAGGGAATCTGTCTCACATCTGCAAACTGCTTCCAAGGGATTCCTAAAGAGCACAGCCGGTAGTGACTGGAAGGCTCAGTACATTGTTGTGAAGTAAAGCAGTCTTACACAGGATCTTCATTCAAGAGATAACATCTACCTCCGCATCCAATACCCTGCATAAGATTGCAGGTTACACTTGGCTGGTGGGGCAATTTCAGGTGCCCTGATTTGAACTACCTTGAAGACTGAACAGGGTGTCTTGGCTTGCCTTGTTTGGTCTGCCACCAGCACTGAGACTTTCTGAAGTCTGTGAAATCTTCAGGTCCTGTTGGTCTGCCATCCAGACAGATCTACCGATCTCAGTGCATTAAACCTTTCAGGTAGCAGGTCAGAGGGGATAAACAGCATGCCCATACATGCACTAGAAGCAGGCCTTACGGGATAAACAGTATGTACTATTAACAACAGAAACAAAACGTTTTACAGTTTTTCTACAACAACACACCAGTTCCCTTGATCATAGTAGCGAGTTCTCACTTCACACCCAGGAACTTTCTTACATAAGGCCTCCAGCTCACCTTGTCGAAATACGTGATAAAACCGGTGGAACACACTACTTTTGTCTCCATTCTCAGCACATGCTTCACTTTTGTCCTCATTTGCCATTTTGCACTGTAGCTGCCATGGAACCAGCATGTCTTGTTCTTTAAACTGAGTTCGATTGACGTGAACATGTAATGTTTTGGAAGTATCTGGCAATACGCTGGTCTCTGATTGTGAATGAACACCATGTACACTGACTCCTGTATCGTTGCTGGCCACGGACATTTCCAAAACTTCTGCTGGTTTCCGTCTGATATTTAACTGCTGAGCTGTAGAGCTGATGTCTGCTGGTGAAACTCTGAGATGAGCATTTTGTTTTTGTGTTAACTGATTCATTTCCAATCCATCTTTTCTACCTAATTCTGCACTCTGCAGTTTGGTGCCAGAACTTGTAGGTTCCCCGACTGTTTCCCTGGAGTCTTTCAGCATTTGCTCTGGCTTTTTCTGCCGACCTGTATTAATGTATTTTGATGGGGTCTTGTCATAATCTTGTTCCATCGCCCAGACGTATATGAGAGCCTTGCCTCCTGAACGTAATACTCGTATTATTTCTGAGACAGCCCTCAAACGACGTGCCTGAGAAAGAAAAACATAACATAAGGAAATACAATTGTGTTATATGTTTATGGAAAAGAGAAGAATGTTGATATTTTCAACATGGCATGGAAAAATATCACACAATGAACTGACACATTCTCTTGGAGGCCACCACATGTTGTGGAGCATGAGAGGCCATGCCAGTCAGCAAGGGATGATGGTTTCAATCAGAAGCCATGCCAGTCAGCAAGGGATGATGATTTCAATCAGAAGCCATGCCAGTCAGCAAGGGATGATGGTTTCAATCAGAAGCCATGCCAGTCAGCAAGGGATGATGGTTTCAATCAGAAGCCATGCCAGTCAGCAAGGGATGATGGTTTCAATCAGAAGCCATGCCAGTCAGCAAGGGATGATGATTTCAATCAGAAGCCATGCCAGTCAGCAAGGGATGATGATTTCAATCAGAAGCCATGCCAGTCAGCAAGGGATGATGGTTTCAATCAGAAGCCATGCCAGTCAGCAAGGGATGATGATTTCAATCAGAAGCCATGCCAGTCAGCAAGGGATGATGGTTTCAATCAGAAGCCATGCCAGTCAGCAAGGGATGATGGTTTCAATCAGAAGCCATGCCAGTCAGCAAGGGATGATGATTTCAATCAGAAGCCATGCCAGTCAGCAAGGGATGATGATTTCAATCAGAAATCATTACATCGCAGATTCTTCTGCAGAATATTTCTTTTATCATGGTCAATGTTACAGTTAATTGACAACCTCTCTCTATGTGAGAGTTGGTTGACAACCTGTCTCTGTGTGAGAGTTGGTTGACAACCCGTCTCTATGTGTGAGTTGGTTGACAACCTGTCTCTATGTGTGAGTTGGATGACAACCTGTCTCTATGTGTGAGTTGGTTGATAAACTGTCTCCATGTGTGAGATGGTTTATAAACTGTCTCCATGTGTGAGTTGGTTGACAAACTGTCTCTATGTGTGAGTTGGTTGACCATCTGTTTCCATGTGTGAGTTGGTTGACAACCTGTCTCCATGTGTGAGTTGGTTGACAACCTGTCTCCATCAGGGATCAATGGCAAAAGATATACAAAGTAGTAAATTCTCATGACAAATGAACAAACAAACTAGTGCAAAGCTATACTCACTTGTGTTGACATGTGGTGAATGACTGCGATACACAACACCACGTCTAAGACACCGCAGCGCAGTGGTAAGTTAGTCACATCAGCCACGCAGGTTTCAAACCCACGGCTACGACAGATAGATGCCAGATTGCTGCTGTAATCACTGCCAATCTGGTCGACAGAAAACGATACTGATGAACTATTTCAGCAGCAACAAATGACTGTTTCACAGGTCCCATATTACTGAATGATTCGATTGCTGTTCTCTTCTATCTCCCGCCTTGTCGCTGTAACCTGTTATTTCCAGTTGTGCATGTGGGTTTGGTTTTTAGAATACATGGTCTGGTTTGTTGGTGCAAGTGTTTCAGAAATCCCCAGGCTGCGCTACGGGGTCTGTGCTTGGTATACATCTCTCTGTGAGTGGCCAGCCTCTTTCAATCTTGAATAACGTTAGGTTAGGAGTTCTTTACTCCTGAATGGCAAATTATTGGAGGTCCCTCTGGTATCACTCTCAAAGAAAAATCTGTTGTTCATTTGATACAATCATCACTTACAGCTAGTCACTACTGTATGACCAACAGGCAGAATTGTTCACTCTTGTCTGTCAGTCAGAATCTAGGCAACTGTCTAACTACAGAGAAACCTGCAGGCCCTTATGGATACAAGCCAATACATAAATATATATATTTGTGCATATGGCAAAATACAACTGCCCTTTTTAGAAGACAGCAGAAAGAAGAAAGTTGCAGGAAGGATGTGCTCTCAAGAAGAGAACTGATCTCTCAATCATGAGAACATGGCCTAGCAGAAGCAAAATGTTAAACCCTCACTGGACACATTGTCTCAGACAAGAGAACACTTGTAACTTCAGGACCACTTTCTCACCTGTGACTTCAGCACCACCTTCTCACCAGTGACTTCAGGACCACCTTCTCACCTGTGACTTCAGCACCACCTTCTCACCTGTGACTTCAGGAGCACCTTCTCACCAGTGACTTCAGGACCACTTTCTCACCTGTGACTTCAGCACCACCTTCTCACCTGTGACTTCAGGACCACCTTCTCACCTGTGACTTCAGCACCACCTTCTCACCTGTGACTTCAGCACCACCTTCTCACCTGTGACTTCAGGACCACCTCCTCACCTGTGACTTCAGGACCACTTTCTCACCTGTGACTTCAGGACCACTTTCTCACCTGTGACTTCAGGACCACTTTCTCACCTGTGACTTCAGCACCACCTTCTCACCTGTGACTTCAGGACCACCTTCTCACCTGTGACTTCCGGACTATTTTCTCACCTGTGACTTCAGGACCACCTCCTCACCTGTGACTTTAGGACCACCTCCGCACCTGTGACTTCAGGACGACCTTCTCACCTGTGACTTCAGGACGACCTTCTCACCTGTGACTTCAGGACCACTCTCTCAACTGTGACTTCAGGACCACTTTCTCACCTGTGACTTCAGCACCACTTTCTCACCAGTGACTTCAGGACCACTTTCTCACCAGTGACTTCAGGACCACTTTCTCACCAGTGACTTCAGGACCACTTTCTCACCAGTGACTTCAGGACCACTTTCTCACCAGTGACTTCAGGACCACTTTCTCACCAGTGACTTCAGGACCACTTTCTCATCTGTGACTTCAGGAGCACCTTCTCACCAGTGACTTCAGGACCACCTTCTCAACTGTGACTTCAGGACCACTTTCTCACCTGTGACTTCAGGACCACCTTCTCACCAGTGACTTCAGGACCACCTTCTCAACTGTGACTTCAGGACCACTTTCTCACCTGTGACTTCAGGACCACCTTCTCACCAGTGACTTCAGGACCACTTTCTCACCTGTGACTTCAGGACCACTTTTTTAACTGTTACTTGAAACTTTCCTACCTCAAAAATCTTCTTGTTGATTCCCAGATATTTGCCATTGCCACATCCAACATCAGCCACTAGGAAACCATCGGGCAAGTCCAACAAAAACTCGGCAACTCTCGGCCAGGGCTTTGTAGCGAGTGCCGCTGAAGTGTTCGGCAATGCTGTCATACACCTGGACAACAATAATATACTGTAACACATGTAATATGAATTTAATATCTGCAACAATTAGTACAGAAATACATATTATAGTAGTAACAAAACAACTGTAACTAAGAACACAACAAACACAGCACTCATAACATTTACTCAACACAGCACAAAACAAAGTTCACAAACACAACCAACAAAGAACAGGATACCTGATGGACGTGCTGCTGCTCCAACTCTCTGCCCTCTGAATCAGACTGTGGCACACTCTTCAATCCAGCATCCGCCTTTTGCCTAGCATTTGTCTGTTTCCTGTTCAGTATAACTTTTCTGAATGTGAAAGATGTGCGGACATCTCTGTTTTGTAAAGTCAACCCGTCTCTGTCTGGCGTTAAAACGATGTCAGACTTCCTTGGTGTGATACCGTGTGACCAGATGTATCGAGATTCTCCAGTCATAACAAGCAGACTGCGGCGAGGAAGAGTTACTAGAAGATGTCGACCATCTGGGTGACGAAAATCCATCATCGTCTGCAAAATGTAATTTGCAACATTATAAACATGCGCAAAAAATACATCTTTTTAACTGTTAAAAAAAAAAAAAAAAAGACAGTGTAGCTTCTGACCTAGTGGTCTGAGATCAACTCCCTGGCACAGAAATCTAAACAATGATGCTAAAAAGATGTGTGTCTGACCAGTTATGGAGAAGTAATCAACCTGTTGAATACATTAATTTACGTTATTATATATTTACCTTAGAAACAACCTACATATTTAACATGCCCAAGCCCACCAGTGTAGAAACAACCTACATATTTAACATGCCCAAGCCCACCAGTGTAGAAACAACCTACATATTTAACATGCCCAAGCCCACCAGTGTAGAAACAACCTACATATTTAACATGCCCAAGCCCACCAGTGTAGAAACAACCTACATATTTAACATGCCCAAGCCCACCAGTGTAGAAACAACCTACATATTTAACATGCCCAAGCCCACCAGTGTAGAAACAACCTACATATTTAACATGCCCAAGCCCACCAGTGTAGAAACAACAAGTAATAAACAAGCCCATTAAAATGTGTGTCAACCCTTCAATGGTTCTCATACTATTGAACTGGCTAGACTCTATCAGCCCCAGCAACACGGTGGTTACCCATAGCTTGTCAAATAGTGGTTTAGGTTCACCCCTTATCAGTTCAGGACATCTGAACAGCTCAAATCTACAGTTCTCCCAGCCTCATCAACTTTCACAGCCGTCTGTGATTTGTCTGGGAGGACAACATGAGGTGGGAGAGAACTGGCCCCTCTCATGATGACGCTGTGGCCTAGAATATGAAAACATAACATCAGATACAGCAGCAGCATGTGGAGTCAAGGGTCTACCTTGATTTAACTGACAATATTTTCTCCTACATTCTCGTTAACATTTTCTTGCAACTTTCTCAATATGAAAACAACTGAGTAAAACTTGTAGAACATGAAGATTTGAAGACATTCACCAACCTGAGAACCTAGACTTAGAGACACAATGCCATCTTCAAATGCATCAACGGTGTCCACATGGGGAGGAATTCCTGAAACAATTCATCACAAGTTGCAATGTGTTCAAACTCATCCCACACATGACAGTGTTTGGGAACTTGAGTAAGTGAGCGCTCCCTACCCCAACAACTTTCAGAGTACTGGCACTGTTTATATTCTCTCACCCCCAACAGATGACATTACTACTTCTGATAACCAACATAACTATGAATACTTCTGATAACTAACATTACTATGACTACTTCTAATAACCAACATTACTATGACTACTTATGATAACTAACATTACAATGAATACTTCTGATTACCAACATTACTATGACTACTTCTGATAACTAACATTACAATGAATACTTCTGATTACCAACATTACTATGACTACTTCTGATAACCAACATTACTATGACTACTTCTGATAACTAACATTACTATGACTACATCTGATAACCAACATTACTATGACTACATCTGATAACCAACATTACTATGACTACTTCTGATAACCAACATTACTATGACTACTTCTGATAACCAACATTACTATGACTACTTCTGATAACTAACATTACTACCACTACTTCTGATAACCAACATTACTATGACTACATCTGATAACCAACATTACTATGACTACTTCTGATAACCAACATTACTATGACTACTTCTGATAACTAACATTACTACGACTACTTCTGATAACCAACATTACTACGACTACTTCTGATAACTAACATTACTATGACTACATCTGATAACCAACATTACTATGACTACTTCTGATAACCAACATTACTATGACTACTTCTGATAACCAACATTACTATGACTACTTCTGATTACTAACATTACTATGACTACTAAAATTAGTTATACTTGTTTTCTCTTTCAGCTAAAAACATTAAGCTTAGACAACTATAATTACCACATCTTTCTTTTTACATGACTTACTATATAGAGGCTGTCTCCCAAGAAGCCATACAATTGTTCCTATATTAGATGTTGACAGTTAAAATATGTTGAACATTTGAGAATCCAAGCAGAATACAGACTGGCTTTATCCTTGAAAGAGGATTGCAACCTCTAAAATGGCAGTTGGTCTAGGAGAGAACTCCGACAGGCAAACAGAGAGAGCAAACAGATCTAGCAGCTTCTACATCAAGCTCCATTACAAACTTGCTGGTGTTACCTTTCCTTCCAAGCAAACAAGACAGGCAGAGGGAAAAGGGGGGGGGGGGGGGAACCATGATGCATGGGTAACCCATGGCTACTATGATACTGCTCCGGCTTTATGCTGTGGTGATGGCAAGTGGGTTTTGCCAGTTAAGCTGGCCATCTACATATGCTGTGATCTCCATGCCCCACCCAGTAGTACAATATAACACTATCATCTGAAAAGATGGAGAGGTACCAAAAACAACAAGTGACACTGTTAACATGACAACAGCCCAAACAGGCATACCTTGTCCTGGCTTGTACTGGTTGACAGTCAGCTGATCCGGCATGTGGCCAATCACGCCAAGGTTGTAAGCTCTGTGTAAAATATTCTGGCATAAAGGAGGAATCCCATCTGGCAAGGGATTATTGACATCAACATCGTTAATGTCGTACCTGAACTCAAAACCAAAGTGTTTCACCTGGCGATGTTTCATCACACCTCCAACTGGATCACAAAAACAAATTTACTAATATGAATCAAATTCTACATCTATTAGCACATAGATTACTGCACAGAAATCAAACACGCGGGGAAACCATTGAGGTTACTGAATCTGTCTGACACTTGTGTGTGTGTGTGCACTCTTCTTTCATATGATTCTGGAACAGATCCAGCATTATAAACAGGTGCTGTAGTTGACTGTAGAATGGAAACCACAGCTAACAATGTGAGGATCTAGCACTGGTGAAATCTATCAGTTTCAAACATCTATGGGTGGTCTAGAGATTGGCCAGGTTGATGTCAAATTTTCCCAAAAGTCTCAGTGATAGAGGTCACAACATAGGTCACATGATAAACAACATTGTTTAGACCCATGGCAATGAACTCCAGATCAAGTTTCATTCTCTTCATGTTGAATGATTAGTCCATTTATAGATCCTTCAATATTTTGAGAAATAAAATGTGGATAAACAATTTGTTCATGGATTTCCCACAAGGTCACTGAGCTGTGTATGAGGAAAGTGATGCCCTACATCTTAGCCTGGACACCAGCAGACCTTGCTAGTGTTACAGAACAAATGACAGACTTTTGCCATACATTCCTCTTGTGCACCGTGTAAAATAGCATTCCTGAACCTGCAGCGAGCTGGTGGTGGGGGGGGGGGGGGGGGGGGGGGGGGTCGGAGTGCAGCTCCCAGAGATGCAGAAAGTGGACTAGTGTATCAGCTGTGTATTTAGCAAACCTGCTTGGACGCAGGGGAATGTCTGGAGGTGCCTCCACTTGAGGACTGATCACTAGGCTAGGCCACCTCAGGATAAAGCAGCCAAGATGCTAAAACAACAATCAGGCTGCCCAGTGTCCCAAAGAAGGTGCCAGTAAGGCTCATCCAATAAACAAATGCCTGGAAAATGTGTCAACCAAAATATGCAAAAATCAAAGGTAGCTTGATACAAGCACATAAACAACAAAAATTACCTTTGATTTCCTCTGTGTCATCCATGTTGACCAGTGACAACAACTTCTCTTCATCTTCTTCTGTGACAAAGTCTTCAAGGACATGAAGCCCTGGAGGCCTCTCACTCGATGGCTTCAGGGGCGAGGGAGCTGGTGAATACAGCAAACACTTTTCAGCTCTCGGTGATGGAATTACCCATTCAACAAAAAATTATCATCACTGCACTACAGACATTTTCCAGATGTGCCCCATCCCTATCTTCAGCAGGCAACAGAGAGTCTCCATGTTGATGATGCTAGTGGCAGCTTGACTACAAGTAGGAAACAATTCTTCCCTGCACTTCTATCACATCCACACCTTCTGCTCCCTTCCTGCTGAATCAGCATCAGCAACTATAGGATGCTTTGTTTGTACCATGATGGTATACTTTCCATGCAATCCTAGATCAGACACTTTCCATGCGATCCCAGATCAGACACTTCCCATGCGATCCCAGATCAGATACTTCCCATGCGATCCCAGATCAGATACTTTCCATGCAATCCCAGATCAGATACTTTCCATGCAATCCCAGATCAGATACTTTCCATGCAATCCCAGATCAGCTACTTTCCATGTGATCCCAGATCAGATACTTTCCATGTGATCCCAGATCAGATACTTTCCATGCAATCCCAGATCAGATACTTTTTATCTGGTTTTTCTGATCATGTTAAATGAAAAGAAACTTTCAGATGTCTAGAAAACAACATTCATAGTTAAGAAAACGCATTTAAGAAACAGCTTTCAGAGCACACACAAAAATACTACCTACCTCTTTTGACAAAGAGTAAATAAAGAACAACATCTTGGCTAGGATCATTGCCCTTCCTCAACAAATGTCCGTTAAAGTGGTGGAAGGCTCGTGAAGCACCGGCTACATCCGTGAACGAGACAAAGCTGTACTGTTTCTGTGGTATCATGACAACATCACTGACATCCCCACTGGCTGAAAACACAGACAGCAGCTCCAACTGGCTCACGTTATTGCCCAGACCCCCATTCTGGATACACAGGATCTACAAGAAAACATGATTTCAATGAACCCAGTTAGTTGTTTGTTCCTTAGTTGTTAGTTGTTTGTCTGTATGTATGAGAATGTATGAATGTAAATGTGTAAGTATGTGATTGTATCTGTGTGTGTATATTTATGTATAATGTGGGTGTATGCAGGTATATGTAGCTGTGTAGGTATGTGGGTGTTTGTGTATTTATAAAAGCATGCATGTGTGTGTGATTGTGTGTGTATGCATGTGGATATATGAAAGTATAGTTAGGTATGTATGTATGTGTGTAAAGATGTGAGTTTAGGTATAAATGTGTGGATATATGTATGCATGTGTGTGGGTGTATGTATTCATGTAAGTGTAAATGTGTGGTTTTGGGCATATGTTGGTGTCTGTACATGTAATGGTATATGTGTGTATGCATGGGTGCATGTATAGATGTATATATATGGAATGCGTGTGTGCATGTATATCCATAAATGTACGTGTGTGTGTTTTGTTTGTGCATTATTTTCTGTGTATGTGTATGCTTGTATATGTATGTAGATGCAGGTGTGTATGTATCGCGTATGTCTGTATATGAGTTCACCTGTATGAAAATGTAGATGTATGTATACGTGTGTGTGAGTGTGTATGATGGCGTACACACGATGTGTGTATGCATTATATATTTCTTTTTAAATCCATAACATGCATTATTGATAACAGATATTAGTACTCTGAAAATGAGTACTTAGAAGGGCCGAATGTCAGACGGGCCTGCGTGCCTAATTTGTAACCCTTTGAAAATAAAGTTTGTTCGTTCGTTCGTTCGTTCGTTCCACTCACGATTTATCAGGTAACCAATCACATACATACTAGTTTTATATATTTTATAACCAAGTGACCTTCTTAATTGTATTTAATAATAATTTAATGGTGTTTTTTTTTGGTAAACTCTTTTGATCCTGAGATAGCATCATGTGTTCACTGGTTAATACCTAGTGGTTCAAACAGAGTGACATGAACCAGACAATTTAAATGTTCTTTCCAGTTATAATGTGTTTAGTTCACACACGGAATGCATTCATTCAATCTGGTGAACTTAATTTTTGTGTAGTTTGCTCAGTTACTTAGCAACTGTTTGAAAACAATATGGCTGCTCAGCCATTGTCTTCACAGCCGCAAACAAGATTTATAGCTCTAGAAGCCTCGAACTGAAATAAAACAGTGTGCTGACCAGATTTCTGAGAAGTTAGATAGAGAAAGTAATGAAGCAGACGTGTCTGAGTCACTTTGGCGAGGGACAGCTCTGTTATCTACCTCAGGCAAACCACACAAAGATGACAATCAGCTGGTACAACAAGAAGAAATAACAGTGAAAGGGCATTTGGTTTCACTGTCAGTTAGTTCTGGTGCTATTTTTCTTATTATTTAAGAACATAGCTGAAGCATGATGGACAATTTACCGGTTAATTAACGTTTTTTTTCTCTGCGTAGACACTAACTGGTTTTGGGGTTGCCATATAGTTTAAATAGTAGTGTTATGAGTTGGATTATCTTCACAGCACTCCGGACACATCCGTAGGTGCTCAGATTCCCCTGCCACTATATTTAGCAGCACTGCACGGTTAATAATGCCAGTCCTAAGCTGGTTGACAAGACTGTGTGGATCAGGTGAGCTTCTCATGCTTGGCTGTGCCAATCTTTATTCCCAATTCGCGTATTCTTAGCAGTAATGTGGACACGTTGTTTCAAAAAACCTCGGAACGTCCTATCTCTATAATGGCAATGACAATGTCTCCATGATCCATGGGCTGGCCATCTTCAATTAATGAGGCACATGCCAGTCTATCAGCTCTTTCATTACCAACAACACCTGCATGCGCTGGGACAAACATGAAATGAGAGTTTTGCAATGACTCAATCTACTGTTTGCAGAATCAGCCTGCCTCAACCCACTGAATCATGCTTGAAGAATCACACACAAGCAGGAATAGTCCTATGATTCCAGCCACATGAAAACTTGTGTCACCGCCATCGTTTATGCTACTGGTAGTCATGGAGAAGGCACCATTTGCTTCTCGAACTGTGCCCGTTATTCGGAGGAACAGAGCATTTTGAATAGGACTGAGGCCCTGTTTAGGGTATTTGTTTGGCCGCCATAATATTGGGGAAAAGATCAAAGGAGAGCCCAGTTCAGCTCTCCTTTTAACTACGGCCGGTAGACAACAGAAGACGGCCGGTTAGTTGGAGTTATGTCCCCTGGCTGCAGTGCTATTATGGAGTGGAGAAGGCACAAATAAAAAAAACACAGTGAAGTCGACATGCCTGGCAGAGCCAGCGCTGCGACTCAAATTAGCAACCGCGTTCAATTACTGCTTCTTGCGAAGCAGTACGGAGTGGACTAGAGGGAAGGAAACAAGTGACATAATTACTGTGTGTTGGCGATAGACAGCGTGCAGTGCCCTACTGTCATCATACGGTTAGGGTTTGGGTTAGGGGTAGGGTTTGGGTTAGGGGTAGGGTTTGGGTTAGGGTTTGTGTTGCTACTATGAGTTTGTGCGAGGACGAGATGTGGCGACACTAACCGTAACCCTAACCCACACCCTACCCCTAAACCAAACCCTACCCCTAATCCAAAACGTAACCGTATGATTATAGCAGGGCAGTGCGCGCTGTCTATCGCCAACACACAGTAATTATGTCATTTGTTTCGTTCCCTCCTTTCCACTCCATAATAGCATTGCAGCCAGGGGACATAACTCCGACTAACCGGCCGTAGTTCAAAGGAGAGCTCCCAATTCTCTTTTGTAAGTGATTCTCTCTGATATTATTATTCGTCAACATTGGCTGGTCACTCTAGCTACTTCAGTGAAATTTTTAAAATGCCCTCTACACCAATAAAACCAGCACAGTTAGATAGCTGTAAACAATCTCTTTCCAATGGTACCTCATTTAGCCTTGTATGTCATTTCTGAGCTGAGATATGTAGGTTTTTGTGGAGATGAGATGTAAGAAACAGCCGCTAAAACTTGTGACCCAGAAACAAGAAGTTTTTTACTGCGCAACCTACTGCGCAGTTCTGTATCGGCTTTGTTGACATTGGACTGTCATTGGACAAGATGGCAGGCAATGAGACAGCTCACTCAGCCGCATGCGATTGCCTAAAAAATGTCACTGTACATCTACCTAGCCACGTACCAGAAAATTTTTTTTATACACAAACGTAAAATTGGACGGAGAATTCAATTATAACTAGCATTACCAGGTACAGTAACAGTTAAAGCCTAAAGCCAACCTCAAATTTACCGCTATTTTCAATCAAACTGATGACTAACAGAAAAACAGAGAACGTCCGGCTTTCGTAGACATGCGCTGTTAATCGAGTTCCTTCCCGCCGTTTTCAGCTATTTAGAGTGGGTGAAAACCACACCAATCGCAAAATTTCATGAGAGATTAGGACCCATCCCGAAACCCCAGCCGACATTTCCGAAACAAGTTTTAAACGGTTTCTATGGTAACGGAAATTGTCGAAAAGATCGCAAATTTCCGAAACTGTAGTGCCTAGTCACTCTAATGTATGATATGTGGGTGTTGCACACTAACCGTAGTTGTATTGTATGTTTTCAGTTTAATGAAGTGGGTTGGTTACGCTTGTGAACTTTTAAAATTGCATGAATGAATGACTACCCTCGGTCGTCTGAAGTGAAGCAAAAAAACTAAAAACCTCCCGGGATCGAATGAAAAAGTTAACTACCAACTACCAACCAACGTTTCTTAAATCCTTATGACACACTAACTGAGTCTACCTGTGTCGGCTGGCTTGAAATCTCTAAATGTTCCTTTGACGACAGAATCTTTTCCAGCTTCCTCAACTTCATGTCCAGTTTCTTACTTGAATGTGTTACCGTGCCTTCCTTGGGCGCCGCCATGTTGTCAACACACCAGGTGTCACTTTCCGTTTTCATGTTTCGTCGGGAAACCCGGTGTTCGATTTTGGTCAACTTTATTTGTATAGTTGCGAATGTTTCGTATCCATTACAGGACGTTGCAGAATTAACCCCAGCAATTTGTTGTTGTTTTGGTTTTTTTTTTTTAGGCAGATTTACCTCCAGTGGTTTGTCACTGCTTCCTGGACTGTCGGCGGCTCAATACCACTGTCGACTGAATCACCACAGTCTGGTGAGATTGATGCAGTTGGGGGGTGACGAGAGGTTCTGGCAGATGCTCGAGGCTCAGAGGAAAGGCAAGACGACGTTTAATCAAAAAACTACTGGCACCATTTGTATCGAAACTCTTGGCTGGCTGCTGAAGATGGGGACGGAGCGCTTATGGGAATGCCCCGAGTGCTGTGATGTCGGTTCTTGAATCAAATCAAAACATTTTCGAAACCAACGCAAGGCCCACAGCTGGAGTCAAACCTGGCACCACGGCATTACGAAGCGCGTTCGCAACGCCTAAGCCACAGACGCTGACTGGTCAGCTTATAGATTTTGAAAATATTGTGCAACAAAGTACCAACAACTAACTTGTTACGATGGTTCTCTTGCTATTTAGTGATTTTACTTTACAGTCAAGTCAGAATGGGAGAGCCAGAGTCAGCTGCAGTAAAAAAAAATGTTTAGGTATTACTTTATCAAGAAAAGATATAAAACCGAATGAAAAGTATATTAGCAAGCTTCACAATATAACAAATACATACAAAACGTGAACGTTGCGGCTACTGAGCCTTCATCAGCACATACAAATCAAACAATACTACACAGAAACACAAAATCACTTAGCTGGTATCTCGAAGCAGCCAGGTCGGTTGTTTCTCAGCAGACTGACTACACGTAGTAGTAGTAGATTTTTACCCCACTAGGACATCACACAAGCGATAAACACCCGATGACACAAAGTGCCACCATGTGGATTAGGATCACAGTGGAGAGGTCCCAGAAACCGCGTTCAGCCATTAGACCATATTTATGGTTGGGCTATATTGCGGCCCCTGGCAAGAGCCAGAGTAGGGCTTCAAACAACAAAAAATTGCATTTCACAAGGAGATGACTGAAGTATCATATACATATGACTACACATCTGACTTTCTACTCCACCAGGACATCACACAAGCGATAAACACCCGATGAAACAATGTGCCACCATGTGGGTGAGGATCACCGTGGAGAGGTCCCAGAAACAGCATTCAGCCTTTAGGCCATATTTATGGCCAGGCTATATTAGGGCCCCTAGCAAGATCCAGAGTAGGGCTTCAAATAACGAAAAATTTAATCCTAAATAGGACGGGAAGCGATGACTACACGTGTCAGCTGGGGGAATAAGTACCCCCTGTGGAGTACCAGGAGCCATAACTAGGGGGTTGGAGATAAAACTGTGAGGGCAGTTCAATCCCCTGAGAGTTTAAATGAAACTGTGTTGGCAATTCAGTCCGGAGGGTGTTAAAGTCCCCAGAGTATAAATAAAAGCGATTCTCAAGAGACTTACGGACTCTGTCGCTGGAAGGGCTGGATTTAATGGCTGTCACCTCCATGTCGAGGACACCTTGGTGATCCCGGGAATTAAGTGCAATGGTACTGGTTTCAGGGCACCATTTTGCACATCCAAAAGATGTCTGAACCTGCCGGCATTACTTTGAACCTGCATTCCTACAGGCTTGTGAGATGTGAACAATAAGTAGACAGACGAGGTTGACAAATACATGCTCACGGCAGAGATGTAGTTTATGAGAAGAATCTAAAGAATATCATAGTAAAATTAAGCTGTAAACTTGTTAGGTAAGTTAGCCTTAAAGGTAGATATTTCTGGACATGTTATAGGAAGGGGGAAAAAAAACAACAACTAGAAAACTTAGTCACAACTGACAAGATTAATGGCAAAAAGGGGGGAGAAGACAAAGGGACAGACATTTTCTGGCTTGAGTGATGCGGTGGCACAACAGTCTGAGCTGATCTGCTGATGATATTATGTAGCTAATCATAGCCTAGCCAACAACAATGTCGCCGCACTCCTAACATGTCCGTATGTGCTTCGTCTCCCTCGTATGTCAAAGACAATCAATGCTTATGGCTCCAATGGCTGAATGGTGAAACAGTCTCTGCCCAATTCTCTACTAAGATCCTTCCAGCTAGTGCTAAACTAGATCCTTGATATCTGTCACAGGAATGGAATCCCCCCTCTCCCCACACACACACACACACCAAGATCCTTCCTGCTAGTGCTAAACTGTCATTTGTAATTGTGTTCTGTCATTTGGACCCAAAATACTTTCCACGTTTGACATTGATCCCCTTTACTGTTGACATTTACATTGTTTAACAACAGTGACAGGACAAAAAAATGCAATGGTGCGGAAATGTACAAGGCTTCAAAACAATACTACACACCAAGGTAGACGTGGACACAGAACTTGGCTAACTGGACAGGTCTCAACCATGCAAACATTAAGTCTACTGCATCTGACCAATGATGGTGGACGGAGCTGATCAGACAAGCAACAGCAATTGGTGACCCAATGACACATTGTTTATCTGGCTATGGTGTCACTATACTTCTGACAACTAAAGGCTTTATTAGCCCTGTCACTTATACAATGATGGAATGTAGTTTATGTCAATGTCACTGTCCACAGTGACAGAAGACAAGTGCCTACTTATATCCTGATTGAGCCACACAGGTCTGCAGTGTACACAAAAGTTGTACATGGTGTCTGTACCTGGTGTCATTGATAACAGCTGTCCGAATAAGAACTACTCTGGAGGTTGAAAAGGGTAGCTGGGATATGCCCTGCTGGACTGACATCCAGGATATGCCTCATTGGTTGTTTTACAGAGTCTCCCGAGAGTGGTGTGATTTTACATTTTCACATCACAAAGATTCTCAGGTTATGAAAGATGAAGGGGTCCTGAACGTTCAAGTAACAGTCTAGGAGAAGAAAACAAACAGATCAAAACAGACAGTCATTTCAAAACGTCATTTTGAAGCACACAATCAGATCAAAGTCAGTCAAATCAAAACACACGTGGCAACACATTAACTCTTTCAGTCCCAAGGGGCATATCATGCATTCATAGGTTATTACCTAGAAACCCAATGAACACAAGATGCACTGACTTTACATCTCTCTTGACTATCCCTTGGGCCTATGATGCTAAACCCTCTGGTATTAAAAGAGTTAACAAGTTATATTAAAAACATTCTTTTTTAATGTCTGAAGCATTAAAGCAATAACAAATTGTCCAACAAAAACTTCAGTTTGTGTCATTGTGTGAGAATCATAGTCACAGTTTGATGGATGCCAAGGTATCTGGTCAGACACATCAAGACTGACTGTGTGTGTGTGTACATATATTTAGATTAAAAATACATAGTGACTTTTATTGTATCAAACAATGAATCATGAGCACACAGAAGACTGCTCAACAATGAACTTTTCGCTAGAGATTCCTCGACAATAGCAATCATGACCCTCTCTGTCACCCGCTCGTTTCTTCTGGAAAATGAGTTGGAAGCTGTGGACAATTGCTGAAACCCAGTCAGGAGGAAACTTGACCAGTCCAGGCTTGATCCCCAGTCAGGAGAAAACGACCAGTGCCAGCCTGATCACTAGCGAGTCCATACGTGCTGTATGGAATCATGGCAAGGTTACATCCTGACATACGTGCTGTATGGAATCATGGCAAGGTTACATCCTGACAAGCTTCTCTGCATATGGGCTTCTAGGACTGGTGCTTGCATAGCCCAGCAGTTTCTAAGCTTGGAGAGGGTAAGAAGACCCCTGTAACAGTCTTCCATTGTAAGGTACTTTGGCAGAGGTTCAGCAGCACAGTGTTTACATCAACTTGACTCTGACACAAGCTAGCCCCTAGTCAGGACTCACACAACCTTATTGCCAATACACTCAACTTGTCTCACATACAATTAACCAACTATCTGTTATTATCACGCAGCTTACATTCCGTTCCCTTGCCATACTACTTAAATCAACATGTCATTCTGTGTCAGCCTCTGCTTCTCTTGCCTACAATGTTTCCACAAAAACTTATTTTTCATGATGGCTCTTCAACTGATATGTAGCACCCATTCCCTTCTATATTTTGTCTTCCACAAGATTACACCCTGCAGTTCCCTTGCCATACTACTTAAATCAACATGTCATTCTGTGTCAGCCTCTGCTTCTCTTGCCTACAATGTTTCCACAAAAACTTATTTTTCATGATGGCTCTTCAACTGATATGTAGCACCCATTCCCTTCTATATTTTGTCTTCCACAAGATTACACCCTGCAGTCCCAACACACAGCTAAAGCCAATGTCTTCTACAAGATCACACCCTGCAGTCCCAACACACAGCTAAAGCCAATGTCTTCTACAAGATCACACCCTGCAGTCCCAACACACAGCTAAAGCTCATGTCTTCTACAAGATCACACCTTGCAGTCCCAACACACAGCTAAAGCCAATGTCTTCTACAAGATCACACCCTAAAGTCCCAACACACAGCTAAAGCTCATGTTTTCTACAAGATCACACCCTACAGTCCCAACACACAGCTAAAGCTCATGTCTTCTACAAGATCACACCCTACAGTCCCAACACACAGCTAAAGCTCATATTTTCTACAAGATCACACCCTACAGTCCCAACACACAGCTAAAGCTCATGTCTTCTACAAGATCACACCCTGCAGTCCCAACACACAGCTAAAGCCAATGTCTTGTACAAGATCACACCCTGCAGTCCCAACACACAGCTAAAGCCAATGTCTTCTACAAGATCACACCCTGCAGTCCCAACACACAGCTAAAGCCAATGTCTTCTACAAGATCACACCCTGCAGTCTCAACACACAGCTAAAGCTCATGTCTTCTACAAGATCACACCCTGCAGTCCCAACACACAGCTAAAGCTCATGTCTTCTACAAGATCACACCCTGCAGTCCCAACACACAGCTAAAGCCAATGTCTTC